ATTAATAAATGTTAAATAAATAATCATATGCTATATACATTTTACTTTACATAAATACATTTTTTTTTTTTCATGGCTTTATCGTACGCTTTTTACCGTAGCGTCGTCCGAGCGAAAAATTATAGTAATTCTACAAGTTTCTCTTAAAGAGTCATGTTTACAAACAATACGCCTATGAGGTAATTGAGGTAAATCGTTACGATAAAATTCTCGAATCAAACAATGATAACGAATTCACACTTTACGAGCCACGTTATACATTTCTTGTATCATGCTGATATACTTTAAGCTGTGTCAGCACTTTACTTTATTAATTTTTTAAATCATTCTTTAGTTCAGTTCGCGTTCATATTCCACTATAAATTGACGAGTCGCGGGTCACTTATATCATTATCGTTAATATCATTTTTATCTATCAAAATAGTCAGTTCAATTTATTCCTGAGTTTACTGATTTATCCTATAACTTAAAACCCTGGTGTATGGACCGTACACACAGAACAGTAGATACAATGATTAATGTCTTTTCTAGTGTATAAATTCTTGTAGAAAATTAGGTAGGCGTTTTCTAACTCCGTGTGAGTTGTGACCCATGTTCAAAAGTCTTACCTTATTAAGCTACATTGATGTAGGTGCGTCATCATCGCATAATGAGACAGGAGAGGAATGTCGTGAGCACTGTTACGATAGTAATCTTTTGCATATTCATAACAAGTCACAACATAATATTCTAATTCTTATACAATGAAATTAAAATGAATACGTTGAAACTAGACAGGCTCACAAAAAATAGAACAAATCATTTAATGTGTTGCTTAGAAAACCTTTTTTTTTGAAAATTTTGTATGTATCTATTTATATATTTCTATCACGCAAAAGCTCACTGGAAGAAAACGCTGACAGCAACTCAGCCTTGAGAAATGTTTTTATACTTCGTTAATAAATAACCCAAAAATAAAAAAAAATGGCCCAACTCAACAGCATAAATTAATTAATAATGTACATTTAGTTACAGTTAAGGCTTCTCATTTCTCTTTATGGCTTTTAATATTGAGGATTTTTTTTAACTTTTCAAATCCATACTTATTTACGTAATATAAAATTATCGCTCTTTTTCTTGTACGTTTAGATCTTGCAAACTACGCACCGGATTTCGGTGCCTCTTTCACCAATAGAGAAATTGATTCAAGAGGCGGGTTTATATCTATAAGACATGCATTTTATAGTAGAGGAAATCCGAGAATTTCCAAGGTTTGTAATGTGAATTTTTGTGCGCTTACATTACAAACTGGCTGGCTACCTTACGAGATAGATTAAAATAATGTACTACGGAATTGTATATTTGAAAAAGATCTACAAAAAGTCAGCACTGGTATATACCATTGCGGACTTTTTATAGCTTTTTGTAGATCTTTTAAGTCTATCTCCTAAGGTCCCCATTTTTATCTTTTACATATTACAAAAAATAATGGGTAAGTTACGAAGCTATTTTCAACATAACAGTGTTATTCCTTATCTAAATAAATACGTTAGATACATTTTGCATTTTACGAGGGAGAGCCATGCTTCGGCAAAAATGGGCCGGCTCGACCGGTGCGATACCACGGCCTCACAGAAATTCTTTGCATCCAACTCGAATTTGGATGACGGGGGAAACGTACTGCCGACCATGCCGCGGTGCCAGAGCCATATGCCGGATATCCGGTTCACACAAAAATCAGTGCGTAAAGCACTCTTTTTCCAGGACATTCATAAGTCGTGTGGGCCCGATGGAATTTCCCCTATCGTGTTGAAGACGTTTGCTCCGGAGTTGACACCGGTTTTAACGCGCCTTTTTCGTCTCTCCTACTCCCAAGGCGTCGTCCCGAACTCCTGGAGGGTAGCGTTTGCGCACCCGATCCCTAAAAAAGGTGACCGCTCTGACCCGTCCAACTACAGGCCTATAGCCATAACTCCTTTGTTCTCTAAGATTATGGAATCCATAATCAACAGCCAGCTCCTCCGGTACTTGGATGATCACCAGCTACTCATTGACCGACAATATGGTTTTCGCCGGGGTCGCTCAGCTGATGATCTTCTCGTCTTTCTGACACACCGGTGGGCACAGGCGATCGAGACCAAAGGAGAGGCCTGTGCGGTTGCTTTGGACATAGCGAAAGCCTTTGATCGGGTCTGGCATAAGGCGCTTCTCTCGAAGCTCCCTTCCTTTGGGCTTTCCTAGAAATTGTGTAATTGGATCACCAGCTTCCTTGCGGACAGAAGCATTAAGGTCGTTGTCGACGGTGCGTGCTCCGACTTGAAATTCGTAAATGCTGCTGTCCCACAAGGCTGTGTGCTATCACCCACACTGTTTCTTCTGCATACCAATGACATGTTGCAAACTAGTAGCATCCATTGCTATGCAGATGATAGCACAGATGCCCTTTATACCGGCCGCCCCAAAATTTCTCGGGAAAACGTCATCGAGAGTCGAAACATACTTGTGTCTGAATTTGAAACTTCCTTAGCGGAGGTTTCAGATTGGGGCCGACTAAATCTAGTCCAGTTTAACCCAAAAAAGACACAGGTATGTGCGTTCACGGCAAAAAAGATACCATTTGTCGTATCACCTCAGTTTGAGAGCACCTCTCTAACTGCCTCAGCCAGCATCGGAATCCCAGGCATCGACATATCGAGCGAAGTCCAGTTTCGGGTCACTTACAGGGTAAGGTCAAATTAGCCTCGAAGAAGCTCGGTGTACTGAACAGAGCGAGACAGTATTTCACTCCGGCCCACCGCCTTCAGCTCTATAAGGCGCAAGTCCGGCCGCATATGGAATACTGTTCTCATCTCTATGCAGGGGCATCTCAGTACCAGCTTCTCCCTCTGGACCGCATCCAACGAAGAGCGACTCAAATCGTCGATAGCCCAAACATCTCCGATCGGCTCGATCCCTAGGCGTTACGTAGAGATGTGGCTTCACTCTGCATCCTCTATCGCATATATCATGGAGAGTGCTCCAAGGAATTTCGGACTAATACCAGCCGTGCGCGCGGCGTACCGGGGGCGGGGAAGTAAACTAATATAATTTCTAGACATATTCATCATCATCAACAGCCTTTAATAGTCCACTTCTGGACATAGGTCTCTCTATCTTAATAGAGATTAAGATAAAAAGAACAAATAAAATCTAAAACTACCCCACCAGTTGCCCTGTTGCCCTCCATTGGTCAACCGGTGGGGTATTTATTATCCGAAGGGCTATTTCTGCACGGAAAAAAAGGGCGGCTTCATCGGCATTGCACGCGGGCGCTCAAATATATTAAATGTAAACATAAAAAATATAATGTGGCCCATGATGCTAAATTTGGATTTACTCGAGCGTCATGTGGACCTATTGCATTTGAAAGATTAGGTAATAGAATGAATAAGTTATATAATGTTGCCACTTTCAGCGGTGGGAAAAGCTTCCACAGGTTTTCAAAAATGTAAGGGGGGGGGGGAGGGGAAACGAAAAAAGAAATATACGGGCGCATCAGATATTTTGGGAATATGTTATTTGGACTCCAAAAGTGCTGCCATTGAAAAGTCTGACGATTTTAAAGTGATACAAGCTGGTGGCGAATTATCGAAAAGGTAAACTGAAAATTAAAAAAAACGCTTTTTCAAAATACCCTAGCGTGTTAGATTTTATGCAGACGGTTCAGCTTGATGTTCCTCTCATACTAGCTAAAAATCTGATGATAACTTTGCAAGATATTTTAAATCTGACGGTTATAAATATTTTGATTTTTTATAAAACGTGACAAATAAGGCACGAGAAATTATGTAGAAGTTTAAAGAAGATTTCTTGCATTGTTTGCTTCAAAATAAAAAGAATTGTCAAGGTCATGTGTGTTTTTTTGGAAATTTTTGACCCTCCCATTGCTTTATGTCACGCTCAAATGTCAGATTTTTTAAATACACACTAAAGTGTTTGTAATTGGCTAAACTTACCTTAATCTTAAACGCTCGAGTATTTCTGGCCATCGATTTTTCTCAACTAATCTGATGGGTTGACCTAGTCGCTCCCCCCTATATATAGGGCTCATTCATAGGGAGTAAATCTCGAAAACCCTTCTAGGGCTCACCTACTATTAGCTCATCATCGCACTCTTAACTTAATATTATCACACTGTATCTTTTATGAATTACTTAATAGCGTGTAAGAGGAGGAAGACACACACAACACAAGTTCCAGTGTTGCCAATTTTGTGACTTAGGTGCTAGAAATGATGACTTTCTAAGTGTCTCGGATTTAATAAAATAAACTCGTTCCGAAAACTGGACTTAAAATAATAAATGCATTTTTTGTCCAAATGAAAAAAATATAACATGAAATTAAAGTATAACAATTTAACTACGGGCTTCGTTCTATGATTCATTAAGTTATATAGTAAGTTCTTAGAAGACCATGCATCAGCTTTTTAAAAATATATATAAAAAAAATATATAATATAAATATATTATAACCATATAAAAACTATTAAGCTTAAATATAAGCTATTGTACAAATGTAAAAATAAAACTCGTAGAAATACAGTATCTGTTTTTGTTCAGCGCTCTCCTTAAATGCGGCTTTGTCAGATAATCAAGATAATATTTATGATGAACAACATTGATATCCATTTGATTAATTAGGTGCGCAGTGAATTATTGACACATAGTCACTACTTAATTGTGAATAATAATATTAATTTAAATATTTATACCTTTTGTTACATATATGTATTTATAGGTAGAGTTTTATATAGCGTAGTGTACCAACTCAGAATCATATATATTTTTTAAAGAAATAAATATGTAGTTCATTATATAAAACTTAGAGTTTCGTGTAAAGTAAAAACTAAATTGAAAATAGAAAACCCTTACCCTTATGTGTAAAATCACTAAACACTAACTAAATAAATTGTAATATTTTTGTCATTATGTCGAGATCGTCTTCTTAATTTTTCTTTTCATAACACGTATTTTCTTTTTTAGAGCCGGTCGTCAAAGTACCTAATCAGCAGGCGAATTTGATGCCACAGTTCCTGCCGGATCCTCGTCATGGGTTCTTATACATGTATGGTCCTAGAGGCGACCAGCAGATGTTAAAGAAACTACCATTTACTATACCTGAACTGGTGGCGAATGCCCCATGTCGTTCTACCGATGGTATTCTCTACACAGGGAAGAAAAGCGACACTTGGTTTATGTTAGATCCTTTGACTGGGTCTAGGGAACATGTATCAGGTATGTAACCAATCACATGTCACCCTAGCTATAATGCCTACTAATATTATAAATGCGAAAGTGACTCTGGCTGTCTGTTGCGCTTTCACGGCTAAGCCGCTGAACCTATTTTTATGAAATTTGGGACAAAGGACACGGGCCACTATTTACCGCGATAACCAACACACGCAAAAGCTAGCAATAATATAAATTCAAAACTGATTTTCTTAGTTTGGTTCCCTTTCACGCCTTAAGTGCTCAACAGAGATACAGAAAGCACGTGCAAGAAGTGTATTGTTGCCGGTGGATATCAAAATATTTTTCCCGCGAGAAAAGTCACGGGTAAACACTAGTATTACAATAGCACCTATTGTGGAGTGTTATGACTAAAATCGATATGTTGAGACATTTTGTTAACACAAGTTAAGAATTATCCCTCTAAAATTAGTAATTGCCTGAACTATGCCAATGACTAGGGCCAGGTTGGGTGTATGGCGGAGTATATAGTTGTTATACTAGATACTAAATATCTAAAATTAACGATTTTTTTCCTGTCGATACCTGCGCAAATCATCCACAGCTGTATAACTATGGAGTTATATCAGGATTGAGTTGATTAAAGTTACATGTACGTCTCGAAAACATTCCCGCAACCATGAGGCTTTTTGTTTAGACAGAAGGGTAGCCTCTAATTTATAAAAATTAGAGATAACTCTTCTCTCTTAAGAGGTTCTCTGACCAGTGATTGTTGATCTCTATTTTGCTGCTCATTGTGCTAGATGGAGTCTGAAAAGTTTTTAGTACAGCACTCTACAGTAATACACAGCAATTCACGTGTCATGCATATTATTACTATGCCCTTTTTAATCATATATCATTTATATATATATATGTGACGCGGTCATTCTTTAGCTTATAATTATAGAGTTTATGTCGGCTAACCCGCGCCACCCGTTTTGTGTCAAGGCACGTTGTTAATATTTATTACAACAGAAAAAGTAAGTACTGAAACCATTATGCATTTTCACATTAAAATATGAAAGTGTAGACTTTAACATTTTATGACATTCTTCTTTAGCTTATCTACGTACACATTTGTAATAACCGGGAATCTAATACAGCCATGTGTTTTGTGACAAAGCGTTATTGGTTTTATATTTCATTGAAAAATTCAGTTAAGTTATCCGCCTCTCACTCGTAGTGGTCGACATACATTTTTTGTTTGTGAAGATTTTTTTGTTACTATGCCATATTACTGATTAAACTCAATAATTAGATTGAACATCACGATCATTGGTAATGATAAACAAATGTATCTGTGAGAACTTTTTGTTTTGCAATATGGGCTCTATAGTTTCGGATAATTGCTAAACAGATAGTCAGTAGACAATTATGCAGCTGTTGGATTTGTTTAAAATCGTACATTTCTTACAGTACCGGAATATTAAAACGCAAAAGGATTTCTTATTAGAACTTCAGTGACTGATTATACATTATTTAACTATCCGAATGAAGCTAAGAGGATATTTAAAGACAATGATCAAATTGTGTCGTTGTATGTTGTACAGTAAAGAGTTGTTTGAAATAGGAGCAGAGTATATTCCACACAAAATATACACTTTTATAAAAAAGAAAAAACACACACATATGTATTTGAAGTCTCGATCACATTAAACACAACTATTTAGAGCAACACACTATTGGTGTTATTCCATGTCACATTACACCTAGTCTTGTTATCGATTGAATGTCATTTTTTTATGCATTTAAGTACACAGCCTGCCTGACAATGGTAGACAGCTGCGGACGGTGCGGGTAACAGACAACACAAAATTAGTTATTATCATACATGCGTTAGCTTATCGTTGGTTTTTCTACATATTAACTTTTGGAAAAACATCACCGATTTCAATACGCCTACGTCGTGATGAATTATAACAAACTGTGTGTTATTTATTTTTTATTTAGAATATAAGTTAATGCAGAATATAAACACTAAGAAGGCGACGGACTTAATGCTAAACCCATTCTTTGCCAGTCTGCCTTAGGGCGATGTTGAAATGAGTGATAATACCTCTAAAGAGTATGGTGTTTATTTCCTTATTTTCCACCCTCATAATTTAATAACATAAAATAATTAAATTTTAAGAAAAAAGTACTACCCGTATTTTTTCTTAAAATTGGTTTGGGGTCCAATGGGAAATATGGGTGTACATATTTCCACAAGGGACGACACTTTGTGTGATCCACAAATTGTTGTTCTGAGTCCTTAGTGTCCGTTTCTTGTATAATTGTAAAGTCCCCCGCGACACAGTATTCATAATGCGGGAGTTGTCTTAAAAAAAAATTGAGAATCTCTTTTTTTAAAGTTTCTTCTCGAAGTTCTCTTTCTTTAAAGTCGGTTAAAATGTACGTTGATCAATTTTATTTAAAGATATAGCAGGCAGCTAAGAAGGCAATGAATAAAAGTATTTTCAAATGTTCGAGCCCATAGTTGTATGTATACGAGTAGTATTATACACGGATTGTTTTACATATTATTAGTGATTTCGTCTTGATCATAGAATAATGTCGGTTTTGAAAAAAAATCGAAATTCAGTTTTTACCATATTTAGATGCTACATTGTCTAAATATTATTACTACATTCAAGATTTATTATGTATTTTAGATTTTAAATTATTTAGTATTTGATTGATAGGCGCTCAAAGTAATAATAAAAATAAAATTTGTAGTATCAAAATATTCAGTCAATGTTAAAAATAAAGCTGTTTCGATAATTGCAGGCTCTGAAGTATAAGATACAATCAAGAAAAATAACATTTATACGTAAATAATAATACCTTCAAGAGCATAATCACAGTAGTGTTGTGTTACCACGCCAATCTAAAAAAGTTTTCCCTTTTTCAATCTCATTATACAATTATCGCATAACACACATTGATAGCGATAGCGACACAGATTAGTGCGATGCGTGCTATCGCACTATCGATAAAGACAAATGTATTCGATTAACTAGTTCAATTGTAATGCTAGCTTACAATGAAGAAGATGAAAAGACTTAACTCGACATGAGTTTTAAACATATCTGTAATAGCTTTTAGTAATAGCATCGCTCGCGTTTCGCGTCAGTCAGTATTATGTTCTGAAGTATATCAATTTTTTTGCGAATTTAAAATAGTACTGTTCCTTTCCGAATTTTAAAATTAAATTTACAACTTGCGTTTCTTTGTATTTAAGGTTTCGAGAAAACGAAGATATTCAAGAATTCAGATGACAATACGTGCGTGCCAGACAAAAAAAGAGGCATTTACGTAGCAAGAACTGAATACAATATACTGATGCATGATTCCAAGAATGAGAATCACAAGTGGAATGTCACCTTTTTTGATTACACATCTCATGCTATGGCCAAAGAGAAGCTGAATGATTACGGTGGGTGCCTTAGGTGATATATTTCTTAAGCTCTTTTGATTGTTGTGGAGCAGACACATACGATTTCAATATGAATACAAAAATATGTAAATAGTCAATATATGAGCGATACTTTTGTTTGTTTCTGCCCTTGTTAATTAATTAGATATAATATATAATCCAAAGAGAAGGCAGAAAACTACAAGGCTTATTTAGCGAATTTGAGCCGATATACATAAGTTCTTTTACTGTAGGCTAATAATCACACAAATCAGTGAGCACTAGCACTTATTTAGAGGTTTTTGCAAATCCTATTAAAGGGTGTCTGAGTAAGTGTACTTTTTCATTTTAAAATAAAAACACGTATTTTATATAAGAGTTGTGATATTTTCATTGGATTGTAAAGAAGATATGTTCCGATTAAGTATGGAATAAAATATCCGGCAAGTGACACGGCTCTGATGACAGGCCATTGCTCTTTTCATGAAATTTTCCATGATTTTTACACAGAGATGTGGCTGTATCTAACCGATAACGCGTTGGATCTCTGATTTGAGCTCAGGAATTGTTTCTGGTTTATTCGCATAAGCCCAAGATTTCACAAAATCCCAAAGAAAAAAATCGCACGTCGTTAAATCGCACGATCTTGGTGGCCAGTTGACATCAGAATTTCGTGAGATAATATGTTCTGGAAATCGTTCAGATGAAAATGCGCTTCATCGGAGAAGATGACTTTTTCGAAAAATTGGCATCGACTTCACTTTGGTCCATTACCCATTGAACGAATTGCCAGCGCTTTCCACGGTCTGCTGGTTTGAGCTTCGAGTTAGCTGAATCTTGTACGCTTCGTGAAATTTGAGGTTGTTGAGAACGTTGCTTAATTGATGTTTTCGGGTTTTCGGCGATACTCGTTTACAGCAGCAATGTTTTCAAGAGACCGACCGGTACGTTGACGCAAAGCATAATCGACCTAGTTTTTTAAAATTTTTTGACCACTCTTCGAATGGTTGACACATTAGGCGCACTTTCTCGACTGAAAATTTGGCGAATTTTGCTAGCGGTTTCAGCGTCACTTTCCCCATTTTTGTAATGAGTTTTCACAATTATAACGCGCTGTTCTTCCGAAAAGCGCTCCATTTTTTATAATCGGAATTAACATAAGGGACAGCTGTGAAATTTCAGAGTTGCCACTTGCACGAAAAATAAAATGATTCTAAATATAAAAAAGTACACTTACTGAGACACCCTTTACTACCGTTTTTAGTTAATTCAACACGATCACTGTGGATAGTTACTTGTCGTGTTTTTACTGCATTGACTAGGCCTTTCATATTCATAAACATTCTGGAATTTTAAATCAAATTTTCAATATAACCAATGCAGGCATAATCCACTTCACTTCGACATCAAGCGGACGTGTTATGTCGTTTGATCGCAAGACGGGCGACCTTGTTTGGTCCCACAACTTCGAGACGCCTGTTGTCGCCGCCTACTTACTAGACTCTAGAGAGGGCCTTATCTCCGTGCCTTTCAATTCAATAGGAGATGACACATTAGACCATATTATGGAGGACGCAACTACCTTGAGCAATGGTCAGGGGATAAAGAATTCGAATATCGAATTGTAGTAAGTAACATATTTGTAACGTAAACTATTATGATAAACAATAGATAGATAGAGGTTAAAGAAATAAAAGAAAAGTAAGTTGAGAGTAACTTCCATTTTTCACTGCATTTATAGTTTGTGTTTTTGTCCATTTTAAAACAATTACCACATTAAGGAATGATGTAGCAGATGTATTAAGTTCTATGTAAATCCTACTTACATTAGGTATACGAGACTGTTTCATTATAAGACGTTGATTGATGCGATAATACTACGAATGTTTTACTTATTATCAAACACTATTTCTGGAACAAGTGTAGAGTTACTTTCTGAAGTACTTTAACCTTTAATTAAATGCAAACACGACAAAAAATTGCGTGATTGACATGGAAGAGATTGCCTGTGTCTGTTTCATTGTTTTTTTTATTATCATAAGACGAGGAGTGCCAATTGAATCTATACAAGTACAAAATGTTGTATACAGACGAGTATGGAATTTAGAAGGAAATGATGCAGAAATAGTACAGAGTTTAAATTTTTAAACAATAATACACGCCTCCAATATATATTATGTATAATCTCTTGTCATAGTACGGGACGCTATACAGTGACAGGTCAAGTTATACTGGTCAATGAAATAAAACAGAACATTCAACTTATGAGATGAATTATGGTCTAAATTCGACTACTACAATCCCGGCTCTAAATAAATATAGTGTAAAAAGAATAAAGTAGACCAACACCAAACTACCTGCTAGTTTAGAATGTAGGAGATGGTACTTATTATCTGTATGTACTACTTATTAGACTTGAGGTTAGATAAGTAATCATGTTGATACTAAAAAGTTGAACGGATGCATCGAAAGTCATGTGTCTGTCTTAATCAGGATACAATCTAGTTTTGTTGAAATTGAACGATAATTGTATTTAAAAATCTATAATATATTATAAGGACAACTCTCGCACTATGAAGTAATATTTGCAACACAGCTGTTATTCGATAAGGCGGGCGTTACATATCAAGATATGTGGTTCACACAAGCAATTGTTTTGAATCCACAACACTTGAAATTTCGACTTCGCCATTTTTGCAAATAATTGCCGTTAAACGTATGTGAAATGTGAGGGCAATACCTAGGCAAGGCACACGATCAATTACATTAACTTAAAAAATATTTTATTGATTTACGCGAAACGAATCTACATCATATCAAAGCTGCAAGTAAGTGATCTGATACCAACACAGAAACTGTGATTAAAGTAAAAATAATAGTGTATTTAACTCTGATTTACGAATTCATTAATTGTTCATTAACTCTTCAAGACGAAGTTGTACACTAATAGCTACTAAAAAGTCACATTATATACTTCATGGATTCATTATTAGATCAACCTATACATACATACAAAGTCTCATTTCGTTACAACAATTAAAGGTCGGTTATAATTAACTCCCAAGACTTGTTTATTGTTAGTTAGAAATTATAATGAAAAGCATTAAAAATTTACTTCTATTATAATACTTTTTTTTTCAGTCCCACATTATACGTTGGTGAACACAACCATGGCCTTTATGCGCTCACTTCACTTGTAGATAAGAACACGATAACTATATCCACTGGTCACACACAACCATTACTTATAGAAGGCCCGTCGGCAATAGAACAAAAGAAGGACCAAGAAACGTATGAGCCATTTAAAAACGTACACTACAAGCTAAACGATTTGAACTTGCATCTAGCAGCTCCATATTTATTGCTAGGACATTACAAAGTCCCTGAACTAACGACGACATGGATGCCTCAAATTCCAAATTCGAAATTTCTCAACATGCACAATTCGCAGAAGAGCGCTATGAAGTTAATCAATGGTCAAGTTCATTCTGAGAGTCAGAATGACGTTGAGAACGAAACCAATTTAAAATCGAATTCGATATCAGTGTCCGTTCAAACTGAAGATTTGTTCGAAGGATTCAACTTCAGACCTGATTTGTGGTACAAGAGAATGTATGTGTGGTTTCACCAACAAGAAAATCAAGTGTTAAAAGTGGCTCTCATAATTTTGGTTGGATTGGTGATTGCTATGTTCTGGTATCTTCGTTATCAGGTAATTAAACTATTTTTTTTATTTGCTTGTTATCATGGCCCAACTTTCTGGTATTGCACATTAACTGGATGATAAGTGACTTGTAATAGAACTGTTAAGTCTGTATTGTGAAATATTACCTAAATAGCACTTTATTTACGTATTACGCAAATATGGCAGAGCTGTATTATAACAACTGATTTTCATCTTAAGTAACCAATGACCGTGATGTGTATTTATACAGCTGATCATAATCAAAGAGAGTAAGTATTTTTGGGAAAAGTTGATTCTAAATTATCATCTCATGAAGTAGGTCAATTTCTCAGCTTTTGATTTGTTTATTGCAATCTACCATTATTTAATAAGGTTTACGACTGTTCTGTATAATTTTTTTTTTATTTCACGGAGTAGTTACAATGGATATACTATGTCTACAGGACTAAGCCTTTACGTAATATCTAAAAGGGGCGTTAGATATGCTAAACATATATTATCTATACTTACTGCACGGATGGCGTAGTGGTTGTAGCGGTCCCCAAGCCGCTTCCAACTACGCTGAGTGTTGTGGGTTTGATCCCCACAAGGAACGACACTTTGTGTGATCTACAAATTGACGTTCTGAGTCTTGGTGTTCTTTGTGTCCGTGTCATGTATGTTTGTAAAGCCCCCCGCGACACAGGATACATTTATAATGCGGGAGTTGTCTTTAGAAAAAAAAACAATTCTTCATGATGTACTTGTAGGTGCATTGAAGTCGGTTTCAGAATTGTCAGTTTTTTTTTCTGAAGAGTCGTTTGTTTGGTTGAACGCGATAATCTTAGAATAATCTCAAGAACTATTGGTTTAAATTGAAAAAATCCTTGAGTGTTGGATAGCCCATTTATCGAGGAAGGCTATAGGCTATATAACATCACGCTACGATCAATAGGAGCCTAGCATCAATAAAAATGTTTCAAAAACGGGGAACATTTATTCCTTTTATGAGGCGCAGACGAAGATGTCGAGTCAGTTAGTCAGGTATAAGTGCAGTTTTTGTCCCATATTTTTTTTATGAACTGTTTTACTCAATTACAATACTGAAGCGTTATCGTCACGCGGTTCTTTCGTTGGATTGAACACGGCTAGGTAAACGTGATTGCTATTTGCCTTATCTCGATATTTACGCATATTGAAATACATACTACATTTGCAGTTAATGATGTCACTCATTCAGCGGTGTAATGGCGCGGATAACAAAGTTAGCCTGTGCTTAAGATAAATAGAAATTATTTATCATTTTTTATTGTGGATTAATTGTAATTGCATGCAACATACTATCGTAGTAATTTAAGTAATTCTCTCGAGTGGGGTTCTTATATATGTAGTATAGTAATTCCGGGTATTAATAACAATTGGTGTTTTTCACTTTTATGTTAACGTAGTTTCATAACCGTATACGGTCATGCTTTCCTCCTGAGGATTGCAGCCTTGTTTAATAACCAGTAACCTTCATCAATGCTTCAGAGATTAGCGACCAACCAAAGAGGCTCTTCAGATTTATTGTTAGTACATATATGGTTTACAATTTCACGTTCGCTGTCCTTGATCATGCACATTTGTGTATGTGTTTGTTGGCAATCACTATTGAGTTACTGAAATATGAAATGATAACCATAGTTTGTCGGCATTCATTGTTCTTGAAAATGAATATCTTTATCATTGATACCGTACAATATATGTTAGAGCTGTTTATTTTATTACATGAGACAGGCATCGGAACACAAAGTGTAAACTGATTATTCTAGAAATCGTATACATATATATACTTTTTATAGTATAGAGTGCCAACGACTCACCAGATGCAAGCCAAGGATCTGGAGATCAAATGGAGTTTTTTACGCATATTCGAACATGCTCTTTCTATTACAACTTGCCTGGTATATACATAAGAAGTTCTTTATCGTGATGTTTCTTTATAATTTAGGGATTTAGGTATAACAAATCAAATCATAATAAATAATAAATCAAATAATCTTTCCTGAAGTGCTTCCTGTTTTTTTTTCTCTATGGAAACAATGTGGTTAGAGGCACCTTTAGATAAAAGTAAATATCAGACGATTATAATTACAAAAGTAGTAGGTGTAACATATGTGAACAACGAAGTACACAATTTAGGCCAGGATCATCAATTTATCTACAACATGCTCCCCACAACTGTCACTGTTATTCGTTAGGATATATTTGATGGGTATGGATTGCATGATCTGTTTTCATTGCAAACCGCTTCCGATGAGTCCGACCAATGGGTCGTTTAGGCCGTTGCCTTTATTGGAAGTGCTTGGTTTTTTGGGGGCTAATCTAAAGTGTGACAAGGACTCAAAAGAGTCTGGTGAGGCGCCAAGTCGCGTATATCGAATATTCCTGCAGTAGTCTGATATTCGATAACGTAAGCACTCTTTGGTTTTAGTTTACTGCAGTTCGAAGTAACTGGTTAGTTCCGCCGCAACAGTTTATATATTTTTTCGTTACATATCAAGGTCAATTCCAGTAATAAAAAATCATTTCAGATCTCCTCTCGATCTCACAAATGTCATAAATGGTATTCCGTAGTAAAGTACATATTACTATCTAGCAGAATAGCGATTAATCAATTTTTGATCACAACGTTTTGTATCCGATTCAACAATCGGTAAGTATTAAACATCTAACGATATATGTAATCACATTACAGTCGATGTTGGTAAATTTTTGTCAACTTTTTATGTCATTAATGAGATCGAGAGTAGATCGGAACTGAATTTTAAACTATATTTTTTACGAGAATTGACCTATCAATATCACAATCTTTGCGATACTAGTGCATTCCAAATCCATAAATAAGGAATGTAGGGATCACTGTTTTGATTCCCACTCAGTACAAACATTTTTATGCTTGTATTTCAAATAAGAGTATACAATAATGATTATTCGTTACCGAGAACACAGCATAGCTAAATTCTGCTAAATTTTGTCTAGATAGCGCTGCAAAAGGAATGTGATGCATGCAAATATTTACAGTTGTTTGAAAAGGTTCCTTCAAATTGATAAGCAGTCTTGAATCGATATATGCATTCACTTTAATTATTTGATTCCGAAACGAGATAAAAGCATAATTGAAATGTGTATAGTAAACGACAATTGCGTGGGTTTGGCTTAGTAGTACATATGTTATCGATGATGTTTTGTAATATGGCATAACGATTATGGTTTCAATTTAATTATGTGTATAATTATAGATACAACAATTATTAAACAGGTATGGGATTATAAGGAACAGTTTATTGCTATCAGAGGGCTTTTCTTTAATTCTGCTTTAGTTATAGCAAAGCATAGTCACAACGTGAATACATAAAATGTTTGTTCTAAAATCTATGTGTGTTTATTACTAGTTGCTACTATTATTATAGTATTTCGTACTTTGTTTTGGTAGACTACAATAGTATTTTTTTCAAGTGAGTAATTTTACGATTTAATTTTAACTAGTTTTGTTTTCCTATTTCATTACGTAATTAAATCTTTATGTTGTGTTTTTATCAGTGAAGGAGTATACCTATTATATATAGCCCGTCACGTCCAAATGTACTCAAATGAAACACAGTTACATTTGCAGTTAATGATGTTGTTACTTGACAACAAACAATTTGAACGCGCTCTCTGAACAACCGTGACAATGTATAGGTATTCAAAATAAAATAAAATAGAAATTGACATACATGCCATTTTACTGACAAAAACATGAATAGTTACGTACTCGTAATTGGTTTAGCTGTAGAGCGGTGTCGCTTCTAGTTTAATAACCGATGTATGTTAATATATGTAGGTTGGAGGGCAATAGACGTCAATACTTCGTCCAAAGCATTTTCAAACTTCTGAAGATTAAGTTAAGATGTTTTTAATCGAATTAAAAAAAGGAGGAGGTTCTCAACTCAGCTGTATTTTCTTTTATCTTTGTTATCTTAGACCTCCGTCATTCGGTTAATACCGATTTGAAAATTTATTTTTATTTGGGAAGATATACATTTTGATTTTTGTTTCAAATTTAAAAATGTACCACCCCTAAGGGTGAGAAGAATACATTTTATTACAACATTGACAGCAGGGATGACGCAGTGGTTTAAGCGGTCGCCACGCCGCTAACGACTACGCTGAGTGTTGTGGGTCCGATCCCCACAAGGGACGACACTTTGTGTGATCCACAAATTGTTCTGGGTCTGGGTGTTCTTTGTGTCCGTTTAATGTATGTTTGTAAAGTCCCCCGCGACACAGGATACATTTCTAATGCGGGAGTTGTCTTTAAAAAAAAAACAATTCTTCATGATGTAGGTGCATTGAAGTCGGTTTTAGAATTGTCAGTTTTTTGTATCTACATTTTGTGTTGATGAGTAATGGTTCCAGACTGATTTTCCATAGCTTGTATAACCCGGTCAAAACATAGTGCTTTTTTTTAATTTATTTTCTAGGCACGGGAATTCCAACAGCTATCACAAGGTGGATCCCGCACATCAAATACATCGACGGCATCTAATGGTGAAGTTACTGGCCAGTTAATGGACATTGGTAACGGAGAAGTGCGCATTGGCAAGATCGCATTCAACACTGATCAAGTGCTGGGCAAAGGGTGCGAGGGAACTTTTGTTTATAGGTATGTATTTATATTTGGGTAGGTTTTTGTACCCTTATGTATTAATAAAGTAAGTCATGGGTTAGGGATCTGATGTTTTAAATGAATAATGAGTGAAATTGTTATAATTATTTTGGATGTTTGCATGATAGTAGAAAGTTAGGCTAGTAATAGTGTTGTGTTTTTATGAGAGATGTGCAATTATTTCAAAAAGAAGAGGAGGCTGTTGTATATACATGGTGTACATTTTCTATTTGAATATATGATAAGCATTTCGCATCCTAGTTTTTAGCTTTATTTTTACTCTGATAATTCTTAATAGTTTTTTAGAAGAAACTATGAATTTTGTATTTCAGAGGCACGTTTGATAAACGCGCCGTAGCAGTGAAACGTTTGTTACCAGAATGCTTCACGTTCGCGGACCGTGAGGTGGCGCTACTGCGCGAGTCTGATGCGCATGCGCACGTTGTGCGGTACTACTGCACCGAGAGAGACAAACAGTTTAGGTGACGTATTGTATTTCTTTAAGAACTTGTTGACCTTTCACGACCGTACCCGCCAAGAAGAAGGACAACACTATTCTAAGTACCAGGTGTTTGGTTTGCTTGTGAGTGTAGTTCAATTTAATTCGATATATTTATTCAATAAAAACTTTTACATTGTGTTTGAAATAATGAAAAATAAAAACAACAAACAAAATTAGCAATAACAGTATCCATCTTAATAAAAATAACAGCGCAGACTTCCCAGCAATTACCATTTCGAATTACAGGTTTGCGACCTTAAGTTGCTCGAGCTATTGCTAAAACTCCCGAGTATCCTATCTTCTTTACATAGTATAAAGTCGCTTTTTTTGTGTTGTACGCCTAAATCTTTTAAACTAAGCAACGGATTTTAATGCGGGTTTCACCAATAGAGGGAGTGATTCAAGAGGAAGGTTTATATGTATAATACATGCATATTATAGTAGAGAAAATCCGAGATTTCAATGATTTGTCGTAAAAAACATGTTTTTGTGCAAAGCCGAGGCGGATCGCTAGTCATACAATAACAAATTAAAACTCAAGTCTCTCAAATCGTAACACAGTAATTCTATTGCAAAATATTGTGAGAAGTAATTGTTACTTAATTTTTTAAGTATTTGACAGTGACCATATCAATATTAGACATCCCCATTTCTTAAAGATTTGCTTACTTAGTTGTATAATTGTATATATTTTTGCAGATATATTGCGTTAGAGCTGTGCTCAGCTACGCTACAAGACTACGTAGAGAAGAAGCTTAACTTCGAATGTAGGATAGACGAAGTCGAAGTTTTGAGACAAGCTACTATGGGGCTGTCGCATTTACATTCTATGGATATAGGTAAGATTACTTCAAATTAACGCTATGACTGGAATTTGCTTTTTGATTTAAATAATTAGTGAGGTTGGTATAAATATTATGGTATTATGGTTATTTGTGAATGTATTCTAATAGATGCAATGTTATTTTCCTAAAATGTACACGTTAATATAAACATTAATATGTAAAAAAGTAGGAGATTAAAATCTTAGTATTGTGTTCAGCGAATACAACTATTTCTTGCAGTATTTTTTTAAGTCGTTTTAAGTGTATTGTAATTGTTTTGGTTTGTAAAGCTAATTACGCTGCTTGAAAGTTGTAGTTTTTATTATTATCAATCTGAATAGTAAATAAAATACATATATATTTTCAGACAATCGGAATAGTTTTTTGTTTCTCGTGTGAACGGTTTAAGTTAACTAAAAGGAAAAAAAAAGTAATGAGGTTTTTTTAATTCCAAACGACAATGCATATCTTAAATGAGTCGGGAAAGCCTAGTACTTTAACACAAATAGATTGATCTATGTGAAGAAGGTTCCACGAAGTTTACTAAGATCATTATTATATACTTGTACCCAGTTCATAGAGACGTGAAACCTCACAATGTACTGCTGTCAATGCCGACGGGTGCGGGTGAAGTGCGCGCCATGATCTCGGACTTCGGTTTGTCGAAGAAGCTCAACATTGGGCGGGTGAGCTTCTCGAGGCGCTCCGGGGTCACCGGCACTGACGGCTGGATCGCGCCTGAGATGATCAATGGGGAGAGGACGGTATGTTATACGCATGCTATCGTTACGATATGCTATTATGTCAAGTACATAAATATTTGTCTATTTGAATTGAATAAAAATTGAGATGCCGATTTAGTATAAATAATGAGCAAAGTCAATTGCGCGAGGCGACGCGTCGCCACATCGCATTATATGTTACACTAGCTGAGACCTGCGGTGTTACCCGCGTTTGTTGTTATAACCGCGGGCAACGCCGCAGGGCGAAGCTAGTCTAAAAAAAGTAGCCTAAGTTACTCTTTATGTCATCAGATATCTGCCAGTGAAATTCCCGTCGAAATCGGTCCAGCCGTTCCAGAGATTACCCGGAACAAACAGACAGACAGACAAAAATTGTAAAAAATGTTATTTTGGCATATGTACCGTGTAAACATACATATGCATTTAGTAAAAAGCGTTTATTTTAATATTACAAACAGACACTCCAACTTTATTTATTTGTATAGATATACTATCAAATAGCGTGACCACGCGTTGCCACCCCAACAGCCGGTCTGACCCTCCGCATTAGATGTTTTACGTCAACGAACGTAAACGAATAAATACAGACTAAAATAATTCTGTATGTAAAAAAAACATGTTACTTTTAGGCTAAAGGAAAATTGAGTCTGTTGGTAAAATACTACAGTTTTACCAGTCTATATAAATATTTATTGAAACCAAACATTTTGTGTATTAACTTTTTTGTTATTTCGTTCCAGACTACCTCGGTAGACATCTTTTCACTGGGATGTGTTTTCTATTACGTACTGTCTAAGGGCCATCATCCGTTCGGTGACATGCTCAGAAGACAAGCCAACATACTCACTGGAGATTATAATTTAGAACAACTAGAGTACGTATACACATCAACCTTACTTTATGTTTAACCTTCACTATGTTCCTCAGATTTTTTATGCAGAACTTCAGAGCAATATGAGTATATTACCAAAATCAATGTATCCTTTAAAGTGTAATATCTCAAAAACATGGGTTTTTAATGATGCTTTAGACAAGTGATTATAACATTTTTCTTACATTATTAAAGTAATTTATTATTAACGCTCTGTTATGAATGTTATAAAAATACCACATACATGTCTCTAATCAACAAAATATTTGTCCTTTCTTTTAGTGTAATATAAAGTAGGTTATATTATGTTATGCACTGTCTATATCATTAACATAGTTTAAAAAATATCAAAACTCAGATTATCAGTATCGAGTCAGACTACAACCTTGTTTCCCTTTTAATATGTTCTAAAAGGTTTTGATAAGCACCGTATTTCCATTTTCAATATAGCAGTATTAAAGTTACAAACCAGAACTATTTAGCTCGCACATTCTATTTTTAAATCTTCTTTTGGTCCGGTCCTGGCCATTGATCTGGCAAAGCGTTGCATAAGAAAACAAAATCCTTCCAGATCAACAACCTCTTTTTAATTTTTTTAAACAGGAAAGTATTACCCGAGGAAGAAGTGCTACTCACCAAGATATTAATCCGAGCCATGATATCGTCACGGCCGAGTGCGCGACCACCCTGTGAGACGGTGCTCAAGTACCCTATGTTCTGGGGCAAGCAGAGCATACTCAATTTCCTACAGGTAAACTGTTAATATTCATTTTCAACCTGCGAAAGTACGATCACATATCCGCTTACCGTACGCAACTGTCATGGTTACCTATAAGACAGCGCCGCAGTTTGAGGGCTTTGACTGTTACACACTCTTCTCCACTCACCTAACTCACCTACCTACTTAAAATCCCACTTCTAATATCTCTGCTCTAATCATGACAGAACTCTTCGCTCTTTCAACAATCTTCTCCTTCTTTGTCCTTCACATAATTCCAGTATGGTCCATTCTTCCTTCCCTGTTCAAGCTGTAACTCTTTGGAACACACTCCCACTAGAAATCAGGATGTCCACTAACCGATACACTTTTAAACTTAAAGTATGGAAGCTCTATAGAGACTTGTTGAAGGAGTCATCAGAATAACACCTTAAGAGTATATTTATTATTATATATATTTTGTCATTTATTATGATATTTATATGTATAAACTATATGCATGTATATCTAGTACTTATATACCTGTAGGATTTCTTCTTTTCTGCCATTGTAACATGACTTAATTCAATCTCATCTTTCTCTTCTCTGTCCCAAATATACAAATGCCACACACAGCTTTGCAACACCCAAAGGTTTGACTGGAAGAAAATGCCTGAGGCATTAAGTCCGCCTTACGCAATATGTTTGCAGAAAGACTCAATAAATAAATAATATTATTGAAAAATGTAATTGGTTTTAATGAAATGAAAATTGAGACGAAAAATCTGTAAATGTAAAATGTCATATTTTGGAAAATGAAATAAAAATGTATTACCGTTGTTTTGATTACATTTTACAGATATTGCAATAGATCGAGTAGACCTACCTTTATCCGTTTTTACTGACTAAAACCGATTTCGGTGATTTCTCATTAATATTAGATGTTGTGTAAAATTTTAATCATATTTGCTACTAGCTGGTACTCGTGACTTCGTTCGCGTGGAATGTAAATTTGAAAAGCGCTGTCTTAGCGATACGCGACTGCAGTCCATGAGGCCTCGGGTTCGATTCACGGACCGGGCAAATTTTTTTAGAGTATTTCTGAGAGGAAAAATAGCTTAAGTTACTACTTATATAGACAGCTACCTGGTAGTAAAATATTATTAAAATCGGTCCAGCCGTTTAGAATATTACCCGGAACAAACTGACGGATAAAAAGTATTTAAACTGGTTTTTAGGCAGAGGTTTCTTTCTTTCTTTGTTTGTTTTTTTTTAAATTTTAAAAAAGAACGCCCGCATTTGAAATAAATCCTGTGTCGCGGGGGACTTTACAAATATACATGAAACGGACACAAAGAACACCCAGACTCGGAACAACAATTTGTGGATCACACAAAGTGTCGTCCCATGTGGGGTTTGAAACCACAACAGTCGGCGTAGTAGGAAGCGGCGTGGCGACCGCTTAAACCACTACGCCATCCGTGCAGTTGCGTCCAAATAACCGTGTCAGCACAAAAAAAAACACACACACTTCAATCTTATTTATTTTTATAAATAAATATGTAACGTAAAAAAACTAACAAATTGTAATATTGATAGGCTCGTATCAAATATGGTTAGGTAGAGGTTAGGTTGTACCAGGGACTTCCTTTCTAGGGTATACCTGGTTCCCCGGCTATTAGTACCCGAGACGGCGTGCGGTTTTAGTCGGTTCGAGTCCGACATGCCACCGACAGGTGGTATCCGAGGGGATTTCCGCACGGAAAAAAAAAAGGTAGAGGTTAGGTAACCGCAAGTCCCAGTTTTGTCGAAATCGCATGGGTTGCCCCCGGCACCCGCACGGTGAATCCATGGAACGCTAAGAAAATCTCTTTAATGATACGATTAAACACAACTATCTTCAATCAGTATGAAACAATGTTTGCAATTATGATATTTCATATAAAGCAGCCATAGGTCTTTTAAACGTCATTATTTCGTATGGGTATGTTAATTGAGTACATTGACTTGGCTATTATTAGACATGGGCATTGACAGAGTAATATACGGGCAATGAACTGCCTTATCAACCTTATAATAAGCAATAAATATTTTATTTATTTAGACTACAATATCATATTCCTTCTTTATTTTTGACAGTACTCGTAAACCATTAAGGGTATCCTTCATAAATGTCTGTGAGCAGCTGCGTCTGTTTGGTGTAAGTAAGGTTACAGTCGTAGATTTAATGTAAACTGAAAACACGGATCTCTCGTGCGATTGAAATGGCATCACGACGTTTTTAATTCATTATTTACTCATGAAGATAAAAGGTATAGAGCCTTTTTCATTATTAAAAAAAAACAGAAATAAATAATTTCTAGTCCCTATTATTTAAAATACAATCGAAATTGTAACAAAGTGTATTTTCAAATTATGCGAGATACGAATTTAAGAAAAAAAGCAAAGCAAGACGCAACGTTTCACGACACGAATTGTTGGAAACGCAAATCATAGAAATTAGTGTTTTGGAAATTTTGCGTGATAAATTTAAAATCATCATCATCATCAACAGCCTATACTAGTCCACTGTTGTCCTGCTTAGTTTGCTCCCTTAGTCGGCTCTTACGACACCCACGGGATGAATTGGGGTGGTGATAATTTGTATTCTTACGGGCTTTTTGACAATTTGGCTTCTTCTTGTGGGGTGGTCACAAATTTAAAATATTAACTTTATAATTAAATTTCGCAATTTGTAAATTAACGAAATAAAATATTTATTATTATGTTGTATAGTATGTGCTGATATTTATATATCAATAAAGACAACATATAATAATGTTTTGGATTTTTTAGGTCATGTTGTTTATTATTTTTTAGAGTCAGTGCATATTCCCTATTATAATCCAACGTGTTTATTTATAAAATGACCCACTAAGTACAAAAACTTTTTCAGTTTTAATTACATAAATTTACACGATCAGCTGTGTTTCTGTGGAGAGGTTCTGTAGGTTCCCACGTGCATATTCAAATACGTAGTTTGGACAATTAATACTACTTTACTAGTACTTTCACATAAAATTCGCAATGTTGTGTTTTGAGACTTAGCAATGTTGATAAGAAACCGGCTTAGTAACATGAACATGCCGTTGAAGTTGATTAATAGTAGTTACATAATTTTCAAGTTCAATGCTTGAAGTTACTATTAATGTTAAACTTAATAGCTGAGTAATTTGACGTTTCTTCAAACTATTGGCAAATAATATTAAGTATATTTATAAATTTGAATGAGTTCTTCGCTGAAAACGGCAATTTTACATCCTTTTTATTTTCGTTTACCACATTGTGAAAACAGCTTATAATGATTTTCGACTCAGAATGATGGTCTGTACAGGAAATTGTTGCTACTTTTCAATCGTATTCATAAAATGAAATGATTGGTTTTAGAGTTTCACATGTGAGTATGATTTGGTCGTAGAGAAAGATAAATTTTATGCCATTGATTACGACCTTAGAGTTTCACATGTGAGTATGATTTGGTCGTAGAGAAAGATAAATTTTATGCCATTGATTACGACCTATTAAACCTTTCGCGAGTCTAGCGCTAGCGTAATAATAATAAATCGCAGTGATTTTGTAAATTGGTCACAGTTGTGATTATATGAGTTATAAATATGTGACTAAATCGAATTTAACTTATGCAAAATTAAGATAACGATATTACTAAAATGTATTAAAAGTAAATGCATTCTATTACGAAATATCATTTATGTTTCCATGTCCCTAATAATATTGAAATGAGTTTATTCGATACAAGTAACAATTTGGTGGTTTTGGCAGGATGTAAGCGATCAGGTGGAAAACGGCGGCGGTGGTTCTGAAGCGGCTCTAGAGCGTGGCGCGCGTAAAGTAGTGCGCGGCGACTGGAGGGCGCGCGTCTGCGGCGCCGTGGCCAGCGACCTGCGCGCCAGGAGGACCTACCGCGGGGACCGCGCCGCGCATCTGCTCAGGGCTATACGGAATAAGGTACATCCTAGCCCACTACACTATAATGTTACCTTTCTAACAAAAAAATGTTTCACAAGTTCAATTACCAACAGAAATTTGCGACATTTAAGACTCAAAATGATTATCTGAAACCACTTTTCGTATTTTAGTACGGCCTTTATATATATAATTGTCTTTCGAAAGCGAATATATAATAATACTAATCCTTAAATAATTGAAGGACAAATCGATATAAATTTATAATCAACAGAAACATCACTACCGAGAACTGGAGTCAGAAGCTCGCGAAAACCTCGGCAAGCTACCTGATGGGTTTGTCACATACTGGCTGAAGAGATTCCCGCTACTGCTGCCCCACGTATGGATCCAAATGCAAAGTTATCGACACGAAGATATTTTACAAGCATATTATCCGCATTCGTTCACATTTAACAGAGATGACGTCTTAGAACTGCAGGACGACGGTGAGTACGAAGAAATACCGGAGGAAATGTGCGACCCAGAAAGGAATGGTCTGTTTCATAAGAGCAGAGCGTTTATCGACGAACATCAAGACCAGAAAAGGTTTAAAAAAGAAGTGTCACCAAAATCGTCACCGAGAAGACATGTCGTCGACTGGAGGAGCGATTCGAGGCCAGATGACTTCAGACTTAGAGACAGACATTACTATAAGAAGAAAGAGAAAAAACGAGAGGAATATGTAGTATGGACATTGCCTCCACAGTGAATTGTGAACGGATACTAAAGTGTAATAGAAAGTGTAGTGCTAGGATACTGAGATCGATACTAGGTAGATCTACTAAGATCGCAGGGAATATAGTATCGTAATTATTAACAAGGCAGTGATTTAACCAGTGCTGTTTTAGTAACAAGCTCATTATCTTTCCTTGTTCTAAACGCGTAGGGGAATGTTGACGTCCTAAAATTACTTTAAATGGTTATCAATGTAATAATATTAAGTAATTTGGCGGTCACTGTAATTACAGTTGTAGTTTATTGACTGTATTTATTGGAAAACAGGAAGGAAGTATTCTATTTATAGTAAATTTGATTAGAACTTGTTATGTTTTGACAAGACACTTCACGACGACGAAAGATTTGATGTTATTGTTTTTTTTTTTTGACTAATATTTTTTCTGGTCATATTATCAGAAGTCTTACACAAGGTTATATTTGTCAAGAATTATTTATAAGAATATAATTATTATACAATTAAGTATAAATGCTAAATTAATATATTTATAATAATTTGTACTTGTGTTTGTAAATAATTACGTAATTTGTACACATTTTGGAATACTTAGTTTATACATAATATAGAAGAAGCTACGATATTTACCCACGATTGAAGTATTACGTATAAACGACAACATGAAGCTACACACGTGTGATACATAAGTTGAGCTGTCATGAAAAGTCAATCGATGATGGTTTCAAGTTATACTGGACAACATTATAAAGTAGTCAGTTTCAAAGTCAATATGGTAAGTTAACTAAGTTGAAGTTCGATCACGGGGTGATCTCTAGTGTATTAGTAACTTGTTATAGATCTCTGATGACGCTAGCTATAATTATAGTCGTGTTTGAGTTGAATGATAATTTTGGGACCAAGTGACACATAGTCAGACGTAATGATATGCATTTTAATGGAATAATGAATCTTTATATATCTAGCGATTACTACACACATTTTTTGATATTAACCTATATGTTTATGTTTTATAAGTAATATTATAAAAAACATTTCTACCAACACTAGTTTTAAATAAGTATATTGCATCCCGCTAATTTTTATCTACTAATCGTTAACAAACCACTATTGAAATATCAATGTAAAAAAAAACAAGTTTACCGAGATTAAATAAATATGTATAATAATAGTCCTTTACGTACAAAAAAATATATTTAAACTGACACATTCGCTTTAAAACAATACAATAGATTGATATACATACTAATTATAGTATATGACTGTGTAAGATTCAGATTGTCACCATCATCCCAGTAAATAACATTTACATTTCGTCGTATTTATTATATCTCTATTTTTTTTTTAAATACCATTACCATTAAGACTTTTACAAAAATTCATTCACACTTTGAATGACACAAAGAACACCCAGACTTAAAACAACAAAGTGTTTTCCCATGTGGGGATCGAACCCTCAGTGCAGTAGGAAGCAGCGAGGTGACCGATTGAACCATTATACGTCATCCGTGCAGTCAATCTGTCACTCATTATCGCTATTCGTTGCCAATAAAGTCTCATTCCTGTACGCAATGTACAAGGATAAATCGCGTAATGTGTAATGCCTACAGAGAAATGTGTTGTTTTATGGATTCTTTAGAGGTGAACCAGGCTAGACTAAAAAATAATACGCGCACATCGTTGTTAAGAATATAACTCTTTTCAGTAGTGTGGTTAATGCGTTTTTACAAGTAAAGATGAAAGTCCTCGTAAAGATAAGCAAAAAGAAATGGTGCATGTCCATGCACACAAATATATTCGGTCCTGTTACGTGTCACGGGTTTTAGATAGATTTATTTCTGGTATTAAAATACTGAATGATTGAAATTGTGAATGTATATGCATAGGTTTAGATATAAACACACAAAAGTATAGTTTGCTAGATAAATAGCGAGTCGTGATTGAGTCATTGTGTGGTTTCATTGTATTATGTCTAAATATTTAAAACACTGTTTTTTTGGGTCAGTTAACTAGCAGTTGAAAATAAAGTTAACATAATTAGTTGTTATCTAAGCATAACTTTATACAAGTCGTATTAATTAGGATAATAGATTAGTTTATTTTGTTTTTTTATATAAAATGTTTGGGATGTTTACGATATTAAATGTAACGAACAAAAACTAACTGTTTAAAAGGTAAAAAATTGTATCTGTCACCTGACTTTGATTACGTCACAAACTTAAGTGACAGTTAAAAGTATAATTTCAATTGACATCTTTGAGACTGACGGGTTATGACGTATTAGTTTCGTTTTTTTTTCAATACAGCATAGCTTTTTGTATAAAAAATTGGTTTATAGTTTTAAAGCATCACAATTAATCATTTAGCTAGAACGTAAGTGTGATTATTGTCAACATCCCTACTATGTCATCAAGGACCCTCTCATTAAATTATTATTGGTTTCATCAATGCCTTGAATTACTGTTTTCATATATACGTCTAAGTAGATTGTCATTGTTTCTTACACACACAATATTTCACGATAAATGTTTAAGCTTAGATTACGATATTAATTAATAGTTGTTATGATATTATTTGTGCTGGCATTGTTAACAATGTGCGTGTTTGTATTATTAATCGTGATGAAAAATGCAAAATACTTGGAATGGCAAAAACTACCATGGCGATGATATGGCTTGGTAAATACGAATGAGATAGTGACTGTTAGCTTTGTATGTAATAATTGTTATGCAAATAATATATTTATTTAGCTGTTGATAGATTGTAGGAGAAAGGGATGAATTATAATACTAAGAAATGTAATGAACCACTTGCAACATGTTCAAATAACGTTCCTGTGAATTGTAAATATTAAATAAGTACTTAAATGATAATTTTACTAACATCATGCACTACTTTATTGAGTAGCAGGGATACCGTGTACACCTGTAAATAAAATCAATGACCTAAATAGGTGTAATACTTATATGTATATATCTTTTGAAGTTGGCTTTTATATAAATAAACAAAGATTTTTACAAAGTGATATTTAATTGTTTTTTATTGTATTATTTTAAAATTAAACACGAATTACTAACGATTGCTTAACAACGGATGCTCAAATGTTTGTATGTGTGTATTGTAAATACATAATAAATAAAATATATGTTGTAAACTTTGAATGTTTTATTTTGTATTGAAGATAATTATTGTCAGTCAAACTTAAAAATAAAGTAACAATTGTTATTTTGAAACTTAAAAATACTATTGATAATATATAAATCAGTCTTGAAAAATAAAATTATGGCTTGAGTTGAGCTGATATAATGTAGAACGATCTTAATTATATATGTATAAACTATGAGAGATTATACAAGCATATTTTAAAAGTAAACAGTATAATATGTACTTTGTAACATGTATACTTGTTTTACATGAACCTATCATAACTGTTAGTCAAAAAGAATGCAGATCAATATTTTATATGAAATAGAAAAAATAGTATTGTGACGCTATGTAAAATTGGAATGTATTAAAAAATAAATTCATTACAAGAAAGTAAATTTTTACAAACTTTAAAGCTATACCATGTCCCTATTCGATATACAAGTCGCCAACCCACAGCGACGCGACAAACATTTTCCATACCACTAACTTTACATTCCTTGATGTTGTTTGGAGAATATTGAAAACAAATTCAAAACAATCTGCAGCTAGCTCCCCGTCTGACTTTAAAAGTGGAAAGTACGCACAGAATGGCAGATACTATTATTTATACACATATTCAATTTTTTAACCCCTTCAAATACAAAACATACAATAGGAAAATACATGATTTAATTCTGAAGCAATAAAAAATTATGACTTAAACCTAATAATTTCTATAGTCCACATTTTGTATACAGTCAATGATCAGATTAGTATTCAGTGTATTTGGTAATTATTAGCATATTTTTCAATTAAATCTATAATAGTTAAATGAACCTTATCCTTAGCTAATGTTAAAGCAGTTTTGTCAGCTCCATTCAGCATAGATATATCAGGGTTGTAAGTTATTAATATTTTCGCAGCACCAATATTTCCCATAGCACTGACTTCGTGGAGGGGCGTGTTGCCTGCTAGATCTATTGCGTTGATATTAGCGCCGTTATCTAATAATAATCGTATCACGTGGCTTTTATTATTCAAAGCTGCTAAATGTAATGGTGTTTGCCCTTTCTTATTTGCACAGTTGATATTTGCTTTATTGAGTAATAAAATGTTGCACAATTCACTTAGCCCATATCTTGCAGCAAAATGTAATGCTGTGTACCCATTAGTGTCTGTGAAATTAATATCAAAGTCTGATGAATAAGTCCCAGTTTTTTTCTTACAAAGTTGACATTCACATAATGGATGGCAAAGTGTGCTACTACTATCTGGCTTGTTTTTCATATCCAAATAGACTGAATAGTTGATATTCATATAGAAGCATGCAAGCTTTACATCACCATATGATATGGCTTTGAGTATTCTCTCAATTAATTTTAAATTTTCAACAGCTTTAGTAACATGAGTCTCTTTATTTTTAAAACCAACTTTCTGTAATTTACCTGCAGAATTATCATTGCATTTCAATGTTTTAACATCACTGTTTGTTATATGTATATATTCATATAGATTAGGGGTACAGGATTTAAGCACTTGTAAAATTTTCAAGTTGTGTGCATAGTCAAAGGCTGTTTTGTTGTGTTTATTTTGAAAAGATGGTTCTGCACCATTTTCTATTAGTAGTCTTGCTATCCCTTCGTAACCCCATTTCGATGCCAGATGTAATGGAGTATTCCCACTCTCATTTACACAGTTAATTTCAATTTTCTTCCTACTGTGCTCAGCAAAGTAGATAAGTGCTTTGACACAATTTAAATGACCATTATTTACTGCCATGTGAAGTGGCATATTCTTATCTATATTTGCTTGGTTTATGTTAGCACCTGAATGAAGTAACAACAGTAAAGCATTTTGGTGTCCTCTAGCAGAAGCATAGTGCAATGGAGTGCACTCATTGAGATCTGTAGCATTAACATCGGAGCTCATTTCTATGAGGCATTCAACTATATTTGCTTTTCCATGAATACAAGCTACATGTAAAGGTGTCAAACCATGACTGTCTCTTGATATCACAGTGGGTGAAGTCTTTAACAGGTTTCTTGATATCTTACAGCAACACTTCTTGCAATTACATAAAGGATGACAGAGTTTGTGATATATTTCTGTATCACTGTCATCATCATCTGACAAGTTCTCACCTAAAGTTTTTAGTACATTATTTTCAATGACTTCAACATTTCTAATATGTTTTTGATTTTTCAATAGTATAGCTTGGATTTGTTCACAATGATTGGCTTTGATTAGATCAAAGATGTATTCTAGGGTTTCATCTCTACCGTTGGTATCAGTTGAAGTGGAGATAGATTCTGTTAAACTACTTTTACGTCCTCTAGCTTCTAAAACTTCCTCCGTAAGTTCACTCTCATAATAATATGCTTCAGGATCTGGGGGTCCAGCCAACGCTCCAGACTGTATGTGTTCTATAACAGCTTCTAAAGTAGTTATAAGGAAGGCACATTCATCACCATCCCCTCTGCCTACTCCACTGAATCTAAACTCTCTCATGTATGTCAACTGGCTGTACCAGTTTGGTAAGCCAGACTTGATGACAAGAAACACAAATACTGGCAATAATTCATCAGCAGTAAGTAGAACAACATTGTTCCCTTTATCCATTTTGTTGATAGCATTTAGTGCCTGCTTCAAACATAGAACCTTTTCTAAAACTGTGTTGTAAGTATCTATCTTGGACAGTATTTGTTTAGCTTTAGGAACTGCATGGTATAGTTCTTTTTTTATATCAAGGTCTCTGAGCTGAATGTCACACATGTTCCGAATTTTCTTGTTGAGGTGAGAGTCTTCATAGGCACAGCTAGTACATATAGGTTTGAATAATGCATCAAAAAGTAAATGCTGCATGTAACATTCCACAGCCAGCTTTATATTTTCCAATACCTGCTTACAAGACTTAGATTTGTCCCTAAGTCTTCTGTTTTGCAGTGTTATCTGAAGGCACTGAGTGTAAAGCTCACTGACCCTATCTCTAAGAGCTCCAACAGCCACAGGAAGAGTTGGATTTCTTTTTATAAACAATTGTACACTGTGTTCAATTTGGTCGAGAACTTGACGGCCAGCAGCCTGAGTCCACAGTAAGTCAATACAGTCATTAATAGATGTCAAATATTCCTTGGATAATGTATTATCACTGAAAGTGGCATTAGGCTCCAGTGGAGTTTCTATACACCACACTTTGTATTTAATGAAATCTTCTGTGTAGAATGTCTCTTCAAACAGTATATGGCTGTGTAGAGGCAGTCCTTTGGTAACTTCTAGCGTAATTACTTTATTCGTCACCGTTACTTGTTTTTCAGTAAGAGTGCTGTAGTGTGTTTCTGGTAATTCGTCACTTGGCACTAGAACATGAGCACAGAAATCCTCTACTGCGAATATGCGAGTGGTTAAACTTCCAATTCTTGGCACACATATTATCCAAGATTGTGTAATACAATGTTGAAATAAATTTGAGTATTCTGTTTTCAATTCTACAAAGAATGGGTTATCGGAGATGATCTCGTCGTAGCTGCCATCCATTTTTACAGTTAAGTGATATAGTAACGTAGAATCTTTTAATTTTTTCAAATGTTAATAACGCCGCACTGCACCACCATTTGACATTTAATGATACTGGATATACTGATGAATACAAATTACAAAATAACCAGTTTCGTGACCTTGCATCGGGAGCACATCTTTCTCATTAAAAAACAAGATTGACACTGACAACCACAGAACATATATACCCCTAACTGACAACTAACTGTTGACTAGACATGGGACAAAATCACAGTGAACTGTGATTTTTCATTCGATTTTTGCGCATATGTTACGTACTTGAAATATACTTTGTGTGTGTTTGCGTACACAAAATATTATGGGTCCAAAGTGATATTTGATTTCTAAAACATGTATGGCAGAATCGCCTAAACGTACGGAAATACACCCTAGTTGACTCAAGATCCCTTAGAGTATTTATAAGCAGTAGCTACTGCTTATATATTTAGGCCTGCAGCGCCCACAAGGGGGCGATATCGCCCACTTTGGGAAAGGCTGCCTTAGATGATTCATTCCAGCGTTGTTGCCATTCGTTCGTGCAGTCCGATGTTTATCATGAGGTCATTATAAACATCGGACTGCTGTTCAAGCAATCTTGTAATTTTATCGCGACCTCGTGCGCCCAAAAAATGGCATTCCATGTTTTGTCGAATTGAATAGTACACGGCGGCACGTCTTTGCAACCTCGAGATCGACTGGAAGCACGCCCGCCAGCACTGGCAAAGCCTTAGTGCTAACCGTCCTATATGCCTTGTACAAGAATATCAGTGCAAGTTGTGGACCTAACAGTTTGCAACGGACAGCGCCTACGGTTGCCCTATCGGCCCATACAGGTGCACCATAAATCCTAAATAAGTAGCTCCGTGAAATGATCTTTAGTGTATTAAACGATAGATCGACGCGATGCGACATGGGGCGCAGTTGATATCCTTGTCAATGCACAGAAATTATTTTTAGACTTTCAATAACTATTTTAATATGTTCGGTAAATGAAAAGTTTCTTTCTAAAACTAATCTTAAATAATACACTGAGGTTTCATTTTTTACAGTGACATTGTCAAATTTAATGTTAGGCGTTAATTGATTTGTAAAAATCGTATAAACCGATATTCCACAAGTAAGGACCCATCACTGATCCGTGAGGAGATCCTATTGTAAGCGCCTTCGACCCAGAATGATGACCAAGTCTTACCTAGTTTAGTTGTGCCTTGTGAAAAGTAAGAAGAGATAAGGGAATAAATATTTTTAAAGCACCTCGTGATTTTAATTTCAGCAACGGCATGGACCACCACGCGTTGTCGAAGGCGCCAGATAAATCTAAGAAAATAGCCAACACGTATTGAAATTTTGACTCTGTGACTAACTTCCTAACCGAAATACGCTTGCCGAGGCTTGGTAACCATACCATTAGGTATTTTTATAAGCTGGTTACGGTTGGCAAGCCTCGTCAGTATCCACATCAGTTATGTTTGCTATTATCTATTAATATAAGATTGATTTAAGTACAATGATTTCTATAATTAAACCATATTCCTTAAGCAAAAAAGGCTCGTGATCAAATTTGTTAACAACTGAAAAAAATTTAGATAGGTATACAAATGCATTTTAGTTTCACAATTTAAATTTCCGCGCGTAAATTGTTGAAAAAAATGCAAGTAGCCATGGTGCTGTTGCTCATTCGTTATGATTATGATGTCATCTTGGCCGTGATCAGGGGCGACAAGGACGATATGTGACAGCGTTAATTATTATAATTTCAAATGAGTTGCTATCCCAATGGTGGTGGGTGGACCGATTATATTAAAATAAATCCTACTTCCATACCTAGTTAATTGGAATGTTAAAACATCGTTGATTAGGATATTATAACATACCGTAATTTTCAATGTGCATTGAAGTGCAGTTCATAAGTAGAAGCAGAAATATTGTAACGCTGCTTGTGAGCCAGACTGACAAAACTTTAGACAAAATCTCCAGCACCCGTGAACATGCAAAGCACCTCTGCTTTGCAGAAATTCGTGTTCCACCGGTACTACTAGTGTAGTGCTCTTCTTTTTTAGTGATGACGTAAGAACTCATATTATCCAACCGAAGACCCGCTAGGAGAGTTTCTGTATTTTACAACGTACAACGTTAATCATTATGAGTTTGTACATCACAAAAACTTCTTGCTTATACGTTATGTTTTTACATAGTAAAAAATAAAGTATCTTTTTTACTTTCATTGCAAAAACCTTACGAGATGGATCGAAATATTGATTGATTTTAATGGCACTTATGCTTGTCTATACACAAATCACAATCACAGGTGAAACCGCTGTGACTAAAACCAATCATTTTATCATATGATTATGATTTAAATGTAATAATAATTTCCATGTTTAGTAGATAACATGACCGTACCGGATCCGTACCGTGCTGGGCGGATCGTTAGTATAGAATTAAACACTAAGTAGGTTTAACAGTTTATTGATTTTTGACATTGATATATTTATAAATATATTTGATAAATTTCATAGAAAGAAAGGCAACCTATTCTTATTCATCGCTACCCTCTTCCACCCCTTCCCCCTCCAAAGCCTCCACGTCCTCCGAAACCTCTTCCTCCGATGCCCCTGCCGCCAAATCCTCTGCCACCGAAACCTCTTCCCCCAAACCCTCTGCCACCGAAACCTCTTCCCCCAAAACCTCTTCCACCGAAGCCCCTGCCGCCGAAACCTCTTCCACCATATCCTCTGCCTCCAATAAAACCGCCTCCACCAAATAAAATAGGCACAATAATTGGGGGCCGTCCTGGAAAAAAGCTAGAGTTAACTATTTGGATTATTTTACATAAGAAAAAATTACTTTATTAATTATGAAAAGCGCTTATATTTAATTATTACTATTAACTTGTACTGTAATTGGCTGTATCCTTCATCTACAATTTTTTACTAACAGGTGTGGACGGGCCTCTTGATCTTGCCCTCAGGGTGACCCTAACTGCTAAGCCATAGGTAGTAGGTTTGATTCCCACCTACGACAATTTAATTGTGTGATGAGCACGAACATTTTTTCTGTGTTTGAATGTAATTTATTTATATATATAATTTGTATGTATTTGGAAATGTTTAAGTTTTTTTCAGTTGATTGGTTACTATAGTAACCAAACAACTGAAAAACAACAAACAACAGGGTCATACGCGGAAAAAAAAGAAAAAGGGTCATACGACTGACACCAGGGACTTCCTTTCTAGGGTATACCTGGTTCCCAGGCTATTAGTACCCGAGACGGCGTGCGGTTTTAGTCGGTTCGAGTACGACATGCCACCGATAGGTGGTATCCGAGGGGATTATTATAGCATTTACGCCAACTCTTTAACAAAATATTGCTTTGACTTATGCGAGCACTCTAATCACTCTGATTGAGTGTGTCACAGAGTGATATGAGAATTAGGAGGTGTCCTGGTACATACGATATGCTTTTTTAAAAGCATAAAGTGCTTAGCTTATTTAACAGTAATTAAATGAGATCCCGTGAAATGTTTGTAATTGAGTGTAAGAGTATTCTGATAGCTATTAGTGGTCTTCACCTTTGGTGAAGCAAAACTGGTCGCTTCATCAAATGGAACTTTCTGTAAGCAAATGCACGAGTTACTATAAAAAATACCCAACAACGCAAAAGGTTAGTCTATAATGTTTGTAAGAGACCCCGACTAAATAACTAACTTCTTAACTTAATTTGAATCGAACTAAATAGGTATATACTTTTAAACAATCAAAGAATTATCTAAATTGTATTTCACTTTTTAAATATTAAACAAACTAAAAAACAATAGATGAATTAAGAACCTTCTCCTTCAGATATTAAACCAAGAGTGAATACAAAGTTTTCTTTGAGCAGATCTTGTCTCACCAATGTACTAAATACCATCGGCTAGGCACTTAAAAGAACTGTGATCTTTAAAAGGTTCTTCAGTATCTTGTATTATAGAAAACCACAATGATATCCCCAAATGTTAATTCTTTAAAAAGGCATGATTAACTCTTCTTTCTTCTTTGTTACGAGTTTATTTTGACGGCTTTTCCAAAGATCGCGGGTTCGATTTCCGCTCAAGTCAAACATTGAACATTTAATGTTTGATTTGGTCTGGGTGTTTCTATATATAATAAGTATGTACTTACAAAAAAAAGTATATATGTATTTATATCAGTTGTCTAGTAGCCATAGTCAGCATACTATGTACATATCTCTTAATCTGTGGCCATAGTACAAGCTCTGCTTAGTTTGGGACTAGATGGCGTTGTGTGAATGTGGTAGAATATAGTATTAATATTACTTAAAAAAAAGACACTTTTTGATTAGGAATTTTATAGATTACATGCGTTGCAATTTCCAACACAAATTATTATCATTATATCTGGTGTTTTAAACACTTCCTATTACAAACTACTAATTATTATAAAAATTTATTTTCACTGTTGTTCCGCATATTAAAAAGTAGGTAACAAAATAAAATTAACATGTAGTTGATGGCACGTAGAATTCGTATGAGATAATCAAGAAAACTTAATACATATAAGCTCATTTTATAAGTTGAAAACCCAAAACAAATGATTGCTTTATACAGCGTTTTAGGTGTCGCTTAAAAGGGCCATGACACGGAGTAATTTAAAACATAAGGTTACTTACTTCTGCGGTAGTATGGATCATAATCGTAATAGGATTGCCGTTTCACTCTCGGTAAAGCGTCCTTTGTGTGGTCTCCGTTGCGGCTGACATCTCCAATTTCATTTTCGTTTCGTATTAGATTCGCTAATGGATTCGATATTTTGTCCAGTTCTATTGTTATGTTCTCCATGTCTACTTCTTTTGTAAAATTCTCTTGTATGAACATTCCCAGTACAATAAAAATTGAGGTTTTGTAATTCTGGAATCGTATTTAGAGATAATAATATTTTAGTAATATTAAATGATACAGTTACAAACCAGTGTATATAAAATTATTACTGCAAGTTTTATGTGTACGTGTCAAATTTGAAACAATTTACAGGAGCTTAGAAGGTAGACATTAATTGATTTAAAATAATTTCACAGTCACATCAACGTAGAGAGATACATTAATTGCACTATTAGTACACTACTATAACAGTACTATACTATATAAGTATCGTGCATACATGTGTCAGACAGATAATGAACAAAGGGTGGCTTCAGGGCAAAATTAAATCTCTTCCAAACTTTGTGCCGATACACATTTACAATTAACTGTGATCATTTTTATAAATTTTAATTGATTTATGATTTTGTTGTTAATGCCAATTAATGTTACATCACTTGTCACTTTTTTAAATACAAATCTTGCTAGGTTTCTATTCTATATTCAACACCAATATGCACTGTCACTATCGCGTGTTATTATTGTGGACGATGCTTTTCCATTAATTGATAATTTCATTCAAAATGAGGTGAACTTTAATAAGTATTTTCTTAAATAAATATGTAAAAAACATGCAGAACTAACAATGATTTCCATTTTGATACAATTGTCTTGCATGACTGATGGAAAATTCTGTCGCGTCGTTTTATTATACAGATTCTGATCGTGCTAATTAGTTTTCGCACGAATTGTATTGTATAATATGACACTCTAGGATTTTCCCTCAAAACTTTACATGATAAAGAAAACATCATGTTTTCGTAAAAAATAAGTTTTTTCTATTTACAAGGTGGAAAATCCCTTCGGATCTCCGAAGTGCATTCTTTGGCAGCCTAGAACATATATTTTTTTGTCTTGTTTTCCAGAAACTTGATTGCTAAGATTGATATTAGAATTTCTAGAAACAGAATGTAGAAAATCTTTTTGAATTTAACAAATAGTTCAAGCGGATACCTTTACGTCTTTAACAGAATTTTCACAGTCTACCCGTTATAGATTTATCATCATCATCAACAGTTTTTCGTTGTTCACTGCTGGACATAGGCCTTTCCTTAGAAAGGAAGTTTTGGAGTCTATAGTACGGATATTTTTAATTTAAATTCATTCGTTTAAACTTTCCTTGATCACAAAATTCGTCCTAAATTATTGCTACTTCAAAATAAGCATTCGTACTTATTCCTTATATACGTATCTTTTAAATCAACAACTGAAAATTAAACTTTTAGACACCATTTACGGGTGCTGAATTAGTCTGTTAAACTGTGGAGATCGGGCAGGCTCAAAGTTCGTTATCTCGCGGATTATATAAATGTACAGTATTTTTACAATATAATTATATATTGCATATATTTCATGTATCGTATAGTTTACAAAAATATATCATACACGGGGGATGGGGGGAGGCACAAAAAGCAGATGGTTAATGCATTACTATTATGATTATTTTTCTGTCTGTTTGTCACACGAGTGTAAATAAACAGATTAAGTTGAATCAACTGTGTACTATTAAACTCCACATTATTAGACATGGAAGAAAATCACAGTGAACTGTGCTTTATCATTTGATTTTTGCGTACATAGGTTAGGGTTGATAGGTAGGTAGGTTAGACGCTATTTAACAGTTAATCTAGTATGTTTTTAGTTGTTATGTAGGGAATGGCAGCTATATTTAATAAAATAATTACTAGATTTACTGTTAAATAGGCGAAATTGTGTCTTTATGCGTCGTCTGAAAACAGCTTTGTGTCAACAATGCTTGAGTAAGTAGTAACCCTAACCTACGTTATTAAAAATCGAATGATAAATCACCGTTCATTCACAGCTTACTGTGATTTTGTCCCATCTATACACATTGTTGTAAAGTCAGGCATTACAGTAATTATTTTTAAGAGTACGAGTATATATTTATTGATCCTCTGGTTGCCATAATACTGGCTCGGCCTAGTTTGGGACTAGAGGGCCTTCTGTGAGATGTGACCAGTTATTATTACGGTAATATTAATATGTTATGTGCATTCTTAAATCAAGTAACTAAGTATTCATCTTAATAGGACAAAAGCAATAAAAATAAAAGAGAAAGTATATTAAATAATTTATTACTACTACATTTGATACCTAGTCCTAGTCACAGCTTTTTTATATAAATGATACACTAATTTACAAACATCTTAAAAATATTTAAAATATAAAAAATTTCAAAGATTTTACATGTTTTTTAAATGTAAGATATACAATAATCTAATATATTTTCAATACTCCTTACATATGCTTCTATTTTTACAATCTTCTGCGACCAGCCCTCTGATCTTTTCCTTCTTTTCTTTCCTTGGTCTAACAAGAGAGTCCAAGGGCCCGTGATATCCTAACAAAGAAACCACTACGGACATAGGCCGCCAAATCGAAAATATAGGTATGTTTTCGGTTTACTGAAACGACAGATGTTTAAGATAGGTAATAACTATTTTAGAGTTATTTTGCATTCTATGTATGTTTCATTCATATTAATGACAAAGATAAATATTTTCAAGAACGATGCACCTATCTGTTATTCAATAGAAACTAAATTATGATAAAAACACATTGTCATGGTGTTTTTATTATAGCAATAGTTAGCGAGATTGATCTTGTTTATATAACTTTTTATAAGATTCTACATAACATAGGCTAGGTAAAAATAGTATCGTAATTACATCATGCAGACATTTCACGTGTCAATTTTTTTTTCATGTAATAGACAATAGTACGTTTTCAGATCTTTGCTCTCCTTATGTGATTATATTTTTATCAGTCCATTACAAAAAAATGTTACTAGTGCCTCCACATCATGTTTTTAAATATAAATCTAAGATTTCTCTATTAAAGATAGGCCATCTTATTCATTGCCTAGTTAACTAAATCTATTTTTGTGCTATTGTTACAGCATCAATACATCATATAAAATACACGTTAACCATCAGTACGGGAATATTTTCGAAGAAGTATAAAAGGGTAGCGTCCTAAAATAAGCGATTTTCTAGCACTTTGATTGAGTAACAGGCCCAGGCAGGAGGAGGTAAATAACCAAAACAAAATTATAATAATTTAATAAAAAAGTTAGAGTCCATTGTCAGATATTGCGTTGTTATTTTAATACGACGGGGCGATGTGTGAGCGCCGTGCGGCGGTATAAATATTTCATCGCAAACAGACCGGAATATGAAGTGGCTAATTTAAATTCTGGCTTGTCTGCGTGATGCGGTCGAACACTCCGTTTTGCCATTTTTTTATTTTTCACTTTTTTAATCCCACTTCTTTCTGAATGCTAGTGGACCATCGCTTTTATTGCTAAAATTAAAACGTAACATGAATGATTTGTCGTATATGTTTCAGCCTCTTAAATATGTAGTGTGCGATAGCGTTATTCTATACCTGAAATTTAGTGTCTGCATTGCACAATGGCGACATGAACAGATTAGGTGCGTCAAGCATTTGAATCGTTAGCCTTTTCCGAGGCAAACTTGAACCTTACTGTGAAAGATATATAAGAAATGATAATTAATAATTTACATAATAAATACATCATTTAGCCGTCTGGCTAGACAAAACTTCCTTTCTAAGGAGAGGCCTATATCCAGCAATGGACTACTAAAGGCTGTTGATGATGTTGATGATAATGATCCATAATTTGTATCCTCAAAATTTCAATGTCATAACTCAGGTTTATAGCAATAAAAAGAAATGTTCATTTAACACCCGAGGTCCTAACACGGAAATATATCTGGCAAAAACTCAGTTTGAAAATATAGCATAGCGTAAAGCATAGACTTCTGAAGCTTTTAACGTAAAAAAAGGAGTCAAAAAGGCCCGCGCACTCTTTCATGTTTCTACGAGAGCGATGACGAGTGCTGGCCCAAAAATATTAAAAATTCTACTGTCTTTTGAAGTAGTATTATAAATATAAGTAGGCAATACCATATTAAGGAACTTCTGAGGGCAAGTTCTCGCCTGCAAATGATTTGTCGTTAGTCGGTGTTGTAATATTTGTGAGATTGTAGATAAAGTTCAAGGTATTTATCGGTTACAGCAATATAAAGCAATCCAACTACTTACTAATGCTTTTTAAAGGAGGGAAATATAAAATACAGTGCGCAAGTTTGTGCATGTGTGCACTTTTAATTGTAGTTTTCATTTTTCATTAGATTCGCATCATATAATAATACTTCTTACTAAACTTGGTGTTCAACTACCTTTAGTGAGTTTTTGAGATTCTTCGACATTTTGATTAAATATTTGATATTTATATACTAATCTAGTTTTAGTTTTAAAACGAAGTTTGTTATGTAGATGCACTTACATACATTTTATTAATCAACGTTATATTTATTTAGAGCACGTAGAACTATTGTGACGAAGGGAGTATATAGCGCTAAAAGTGAGTGATAGGAAAGAAACCTTTACTTTGCCAGTATTAGTAGCATCGTTTCGAGTGACTAAAAATCTATACCTTAAAAAGTACCTAGCATAACGTATTTCGAGGGCACGTGAACTTTATAAAACTTTAAGGTATAACCATACTCGTATTGTTTACGCACTTCTACTGATAAATAATACCATGTAGCTTTTTTATTGTACGAAAATGTAATACCCAGCTTTTTTTTATTTTTATGACAGTTTATAAATATTAATTGACTATAAATTATATATTTAAATACATTTTAACGACTTCGACTGCGGGGATGGCGTAGTGGTATAAGAGGTCACCATGGCAGTTCCTACTACGCTAAGTGTTGTGTGTTCGATCCCCACATGGGACCACACTTTGTGTGATCGTTGTGTTTTGTTGTCACAAATCGTTGTTCTGGGTCTGGTTGTTCTTTGTGTCCGTTTCATGCCTGTTGGTAAAGTCGCCCGCGACACAGGATATATTCCTAATGAGGCAGTTGCCTTTTTCTAAAAAAAACAAATGATTTTCAGACCTTAGTACAATTTAATTTTGCACATTGTACGATTAGACCAAATGTATCATCGAAGCTACGCCCTGCATCTTAATAATACTGCTAAATATTTTGCGTTACACAGGTGTATGATTTTTACTTATTCAAATACCTTTCCTTACGAGCGCTGTTCCGTTAAGTAAGAACTAAATTTCCTAGATGTTATGCCGAGTTGCCAATTTCAATAGTATTTCTGGCACGAACGAATCCAATTGTTTCAATTTGTATTTACGAACTGAATATATTATTATCGTATAACACCGACATCCTTCACGTACTTCGCAAGGTTAGGCAAGTATTATGACGTTCAATTGAGAGAGGAAATTTACAAAAAATAAAATAAAAGGTGTTTAAGCCAACACAATACTTGTAATTTATAAATGAATTTTATGCAGTTTTCCAGAGATACATAGTCGTGATTTGTGCTGAATGAACTTTGCGGTCTTTACATTTGTATTACAGTACAGCAGACGAGTTGAAATAATATTGATTTAGGTTACTGCAGTAAAATATATCTGATATTGAAAAAGGTTTATTTCTAGGTTTCGTGATCAGGTTGTTTGATTTTTTTTATGTCATGGATTGGAAACGCTACAATTCGTGCGTTGGTGTAACTTTTTTGATATTTTCACGCCTTCCAGGTGCAAGAGTCGAAACGTTATCTTTTGAAAACTCATAAAGTGTACAAAAGTCGGTATGGTGATGTGTTTACACCATCGTCTGCAAGTGTGTTCTCTCCAAGTGTCGCTGTTCTGAATAGAGGCTATTAGGCCCGTCGCAGTCCAGCATCGCTCTGGTTTCCGTAACACACTAGTAAGTACGCGGAGGAAATCCTCCGGAAAATGTTATCTTCAAATGTGTATAGATATTTACATTAGCAGCTTTGAGTTTGGACAACATTAAGTACCAATTACGTTAAGAGTACATTATTTGCTATTTGTACTTTGATCGTCACTTATATTTTTAAATGTTAAAAGAAATATACAGTTTTATTTGAAAGATTCATTCATCATTTAAAAAAAAAAAAAAAAACCCCCATTCATCATTACACACTCTAAAATATTATTATCATCATCACCTTCCTATCCATTCACTAATTTATTAAGGGTCGGTCATATTAGTTTTCTTTCTTCTATTCTCTTCGATAACTAAACATCCTTTTTCACGTACTCCTCTATTGCATTGCGAAATGGTTTTGGCTCTATCCGTATTTTAAAACCCTCACCACACGGATGCGATATTGAGTTGAGTAGAGAGTAGAGCGGTTGTGAGTTAAAAGTTATATTAATATCACTAACCTACAAAATGCTATTTCATAGTTTTGTGGCTCAATATTTCAAATCTAATTAAGTTTCAAATTCTAATTTAGTTGCGTCAATACCTATATATACCTATATACTTATCTATATATAATATATAATACTATCCCTGTTCATGCCTCGCACAGCTTTGATGCCATAATGGCACACCGATTACATGATCCTCTCAAAAAATCATTAAAAACTTATAGGTATACTCATGATGTAAAAAAATATTATCGTTTCGTACGATACTCATTTCCTTAAAAAATATCAATTATGCATTCGCGATAAAAGCCTATGAGTAATCAATACTTACTTACTCATAGTGATTGATAAAATATACTGGATCGGATAGGTAGGTATTATACTAGGTTCTGAATGTATATTTATAATAATAATAATAATATATCTCATACACGGCCGTCTGATCACCTCGTAATAGTTTAATATGACTAAAAAATCAAGGCAGTTTAAGTACGCCTGTAATTTACAAGGGAACTTCTGTAGAGTCCATGCTTAATCGGCAATCTACGCAAAGGTTCTACAGCCGCGGTGTTCAATGCAATGAGTGATTCTAAGTTATCCCATTGAATATAATAGTTTACGTGAATTTGAGGTAAAATATTATTTGGTTAAACATTTAATGACTTGAAAAAAATTTACTTAACCATTTTTTCACTTCTCTTATAATGCGCAGAAGTTATGTAGCTTAACAATTATTATACAGTATGTAGGAAGACCCTCCACAAAAGGGCTACGGTATTACACTTTTGTCACAAAGCGGTGGAAACTGACGCCTGAAGAATTGCTCCCGAGCTCGTTGAAAACGAGCGGTTCTTTGTTCTATTCTCACCACGGCTCAATAGTTGTAAATATTTATAGTGTATTAGCACGCTGTAAATACGAAATAACAAAATGTTTGAAATACAAATTTCTCAACTACTGCTGGTAAATTTGTACTCGTGCTTTATTTATTTAGTTATTTATACTTCCTGCAAATACATTGCATACGGCGGACTTAATGCCATAGGCATTTTCTTCCAGTCAACCTTGGGGTGATGCAGAGATTTGTGTGTGGCAATTGTAGTCGGTCGCAAGATGTTGTACTACACAGATATACGAGGATACATACTCGTATATAGATGTAAATATAATTTATACGTACTATATAATACTATAAATATAAAACAAACATAAACATACACACATACATCCATACATATATGCCTGCATTGATGAACACACGAGGGGTTATTTTGATGACTCCGTCAACAAGTCTCCATAGAGCTTGCGTATTCTGATCTTAAAGGTTGTTCGGTTGGTGGATGTCCTGATCTCTAGGGGAAGGGCGTTCCAAAGATTAACCGCTTGGACAGTGAAAGAGGAATGGACAGTACGGGAGTTATGTGAAGGACAAAGAAGGAGGAAATTATCAGCGGAGCGAAGGCTTCTGTCATGGTTGGAGCAGAGATATTGCAGGTGGGATGTTAAGTAAGTAGGTGAGGTAGGTGTGTGGAGAAGGGAGTGCAACATAGTCAGCGCCCGCAAACTGCGGCGCTGTCTTATAGGTAGCCATGACAATTGCCTGCGATCAGCGGATACATGATCGTACTTTCGCAGGTTGAATATGAACCGAATGCAATTGTTGAGAAGTCGGTATAATTTATTGAGCAGCATTCAGGTCGAGGTAACACACATCACATTGGGAAAATTAAGGTCTACACCAGTTTGTTTTGTTTTCACTGGGAGTAAACTGAGTTCTGACTGACGCTAGTTACCTGCGTTTGCCAATTTAGGGTTGATGTGCAGACCAAGATCCTTGACTGATTGGCTAATGGGCAACACAGTTCCATTAAAAATTATATCTGCGATAGCGTCAGTATCAATTCTACCGCCGGGTTCACGGTTAAACCAAATCTGCTTCACCAGTTTTCTATGGTGTTCAGGTCGCGGTTAATTTTGTTAATCGCTTCGTCTATATTTTCTACTCTCGCTGGTTTCTCGTGGTTTCAGCTGTTCGTTGATTCTGAGCCAGAATCAACGAACAGCTGAAACCACTGGGTCTAGAAGTGGTCATTTTTAAAATTTATATAATATAGGTAATAATAGATAAAAACTTTGATATTAAATTTATGTCTTTTTCCTAAACTATATTTATGAAACTTTATATGTTATTTACCTTACGGGTTAAATTCTAAAAAATCCGATCCATGTCTTCACTTATTTATAATTAGAAATAGATATAAAACCTCACTTTGAAAATTACGAATTACCCATATAAACTTACAATCCATAAGTTACCCCCTTATCTATAGGTAAACTTTTCAAAAACCCCTTCCTAGTAGCACACCTAGGTCACCTAAGAAAATTTTTTTGGAACATATCATGCTTCTTTAAAATATGTATTAATTATGTGTATATTTAAATATGTATTCTTATTTTTATTTATTTAGGTCCTTCACAGCTGACAGTAAGTACATGTAGAAAATTTACAAAGTATTACGCCAATTACGAAGTACACAATATAACAGGTAGTATAAGTAAATAAAAGTGAACCCGCATTCATTAGTGCTTACATGCATATACATGATGTTAAGAAAGTGTGTGTTATGATTGTAGTATGTCGTCGTTGTCAAACCAAAATCTTTGCACTATGCACTTTTTCAAGATTTTAACATTTTGAATAGGAAGAGTAGTTCGCGAATCAATCTTTTCTATAAAATAACTGCTATGTACATTTGAGTACTGTACGACGAACTATGACCGCTTTTTAAAACATGCTATGTACAGCAGCTGGAATATTGTCAGTTAATACCTGCTATGTAACAAACATACACAAAATTTTATTTGAACATGGTGAATTTTGATGGTTGATAGATTATTTATTTATTTATGTTATACTTCCTGCAAATACATTGCATAAGGCGGACTTAATGCCATTAGTCTAAACACAAAGCAACACTAACAACATTAACTAACTAATAGGTGATAGATAAATAGCGTTACGTTGTTTACATAGCGATGATGATGACAATTTATCTAACCCTGTCCAGGAATTAACAGCGAGCATCGAATACCAAGCAGCTCTCAAACTCCATTATTTCGTCGTTCGTTTATTGGATAAACAATACATGGGTTACCAGAAAAAAAGAGGGAAAGCTAGAACAGAGTATCCCAAAAGAAGTCAGATCTGTAAAAACTCGCTGTAATCATACTGCAATAGAACAAAAGGTGAAAATTGGTTTTATGTGTGGTTTAGTATCAGAAGAAGAACGAGTTAATGCAACTCGTTCTTCTTCTGCTACTCATGTCAAGTTTTGGAATATGAATTCGTGGTTATGGGTTACCTAACTAAATAATAAGTGTAGCTCTGCTGCTGAGCATAATTAGATTATGTTAAATTAAATGTGTATTTATAAAATTTATACTCTTAAGTATATTTATTAGCAGTCTTGTTAACATAGTGAAGGCAGTGCCTAGTTTATGATCAGTGTGAGAGCGGAGTCGGGCTACTCGTATTACTATTATTGTACATTGAATTTTTATTTTATTTTATAATTTATTTAACTTTAACTTTATTTGTGTACATGATATTTCATTCTTTGTCCCCCAAAACCGGGTTGATGGTTTGACTGGGGGATCGAGTCCCGTACATTTTCTCTTATTTAAATAATTTCAAAACTGTTATAGGTACATACAGCGCAAACTTATTATAAGACCTCGTAAAAAAGATTTTTTAATTTCCTCTTAAATACAAATCAACGCTGCACTATTAAACTCCACATTGTTGTAAAGTCGGGCATTGAAAAAATAATTTTAAAAGTACGAGAATATTTTTATTAGTTCTCTGGTTGCCATAATACTGGTTCGGCATAGTTTGGGACTAGAGGGCCTTGTGCGAGATGTGACAAGTTATTATTACAGCAATATTAATATGAGCATTCTTAAACTAAGTAACTAAGCATTCACCTTATTAAGACTAAAGCTATGAATAATAAAACAAAAAGTATAGTAAACAATTTATTACTATTTAATGGGACACGTAGGTCCTAGTTACAGCATTTCTCTATAAATGATACACTAAATTACAAACATCTCAATAGTATTAAAAATATTCAAATATCAAACTCTTTTACATGTTCTGTAAATGTAAGGTATACAATAATCTCGTTGATTTTCTGTACTGCTTACATATGCTTCTATTTTTACAGCCTTCTGCGACTGCAGTTAGTGACTCTGAAGATTTTCTACTTTCATACGCCTTTACGTATGCCGCGATGGTACCTTCATGGTCTTTAGGCAAATCTTTTGTGTTTTTACAAGAAGATCGCCTGTAATTATTTACGGACGATATTCCTGTCGACGAAGTCTCCAAAGAGAAGAGAGAGAGATTACGGTCTTCATTTTTTGAATTAGTCTTGGATCTCCTCCTAGTCTTCAGGCTTTCTTTTGAACAATCAACCGTCGTAGATATTTGAATCATTGTTGAGTGCCCTCGCAGGGAGGGCCGCAAGTCTTCAGCAGTGTCCAATTCTATTGATTGAGTTTGCCCCATTTGTGATCCAGAACACGAAATGTAACAAAGAAATTCTATTGTAGTTCCGTATTGTACGCTACGATTGTTTGATGTTACTCTAACAACGATCGGTGAATTTATGTCCTTATAAGTATTGTGAGCTGCTTATATACGAACTCGAAGAGCCCTGTCATAAGCGTAATTACGCTAATTGACGAATATCCAAAATAATTAAGACAGAATATTATTAGGTCCTAACAGTGTGTAATTATCTAATCGATATAACATTAGAACTGCTGATTCAAATGAAGTACTAATTAGTTTCTTATCATTACATGGCACGTAATGATAATAAACTAATTAGGACTACGGATAATACCATCATGAGAATGATTATTATCATATTTAATTACATTTTTACAGAAGTGTTTGGATCCGCTACTTGTCTGCAATCGTTTTCAGACGGGACACAACAAGAAATTACTTTGCAGCAATCAAAATGTATAAAATTGTAGGGGATACCCTACCGTATCTTCCCAATTTAATATGTTTTACAGACAGGTAGCGGATCCAAATACATTTGTGAAAATGTAATTAAATATGATAATAATCATTCTAATGATGTAATACCATCATTAGAATGTAGTCCTAATTAGTTTATTATCATTACGTGCCATGTAATGATAAGAAACTAATTAGTACTTCATTTGAATCAGCAGTTCTAATGTTATATCGATTAGATAATTACACACTGTTAGGACCTAATAATATTCTGTCTTAATTATTTTGGATATTCGTCAATTAGCGTAATTACGCTTATGACAGGGCTCTTCGAGTTCGTATATAAGCAGCTCACAATACTTATAAGGACATAAATTCACCGATCGTTGTTAGAGTAACATCAAACAATCGTAGCGTACAATACGGAACTACAATAGAATTTCTTTGTTACATTTCGTGTTCTGGATCACAAATGGGGCAAACTCAATCAATAGAATTGGACACTGCTGAAGACTTGCGGCCCTCCCTGCGAGGGAACTCAACAATGATTCAAATATCTACGACGGTTGATTGTTCAAAAGAAAGCCTGAAGACTAGGAGGAGATCCAAGACTAATTCAAAAAATGAAGACCGTAATCTCTCTCTCTTCTCTTTGGAGACTTCGTCGACAGGAATATCGTCCGTAAATAATTACAGGCGATCTTCTTGTAAAAACACAAAAGATTTGCCTAAAGACCATGAAGGTACCATCGCGGCATACGTAAAGGCGTATGAAAGTAGAAAATCTTCAGAGTCACTAACTGCAGTCGCAGAAGGCTGTAAAAATAGAAGCATATGTAAGCAGTACAGAAAATCAACGAGATTATTGTATACCTTACATTTACAGAACATGTAAAAGAGTTTGATATTTGAATATTTTTAATACTATTGAGATGTTTGTAATTTAGTGTATCATTTATAGAGAAATGCTGTAACTAGGACCTACGTGTCCCATTAAATAATAATAAATTGTTTACTATACTTTTTGTTTTATTATTCATAGCTTTAGTCTTAATAAGGTGAATGCTTAGTTACTTAGTTTAAGAATACACATATTAATATTGCTGTAATAATAACTTGTCACATCTCACACAAGGCCCTCTAGTCCCAAACTAGGCCGAGCCAGTATTTTGGTAACCATAGAAATTTTAGAAATGTACTCGTACTTTTAAAAATAGTTTTGCATTGCCTGACTTTACAACAATGTGGAGTTTAATAGTACACCGTTGATTAGTATTAAAGAGGAAACTTAAAAAAATATATTTAAAGAGATATTATAATAAGTTTGAATCATTGTTTGTTTTTTTTTTGCGGCGATGGTCACTTTCTGTCAGCTGACCCGTCTGCTCGTCTGCCCCTTCTATCATAAAAAAAAGTTTGTGCTGTGTGTGTAGCTTTTAAATTATTTAAATAAGACAAAATGTACGGAGACTCGATTCCCCAGTCAAACCATCAACCCGGTTTTGGGGGACAAAGAATGAAACATCATGTACACAAATAAAGTTAAAGTAAAATAAATTATAAAATAAAATAAAAATTCTACTTAAATCTTTTTTTTTACACTTGTGTATAAACAAACAGAGTAATGACAATAATAGTAATACGAGCAGCCCGACTCCGCTCTCACACTAATCATAAATTAGGCATTGCCTTCACTATGTTAACAAGACTGCTAATAAATATAAATATTTCATCGCATACAGACCGGAATATGAAGTGGTTAATTTAAATTCTGGCTTGTCTGCGTGTTGCGGTTGAACACTCCGTTTTGCCATATTTTATTTTTTGAACCCCACTTCTTTCTGAATGCTAGTGGACCATCGCTTTTATTGCTGAAATTATAACGTAACATGGATGGTTTTTCGTATATTTTCCACCCACTTAAATATGCAGTATGTGAAAGCGTTTCTCTATACGTGAAAGTTAGCTGCCGACTGCCAAAAATTGAGTTTATAAGATATCCTTGTGGAATTTTATCGTAGATATAAAAGTATATAAGTAAAATAAATAAAAGAGTAACAGAGCAATGAAGACTAAAGGACTTTAAAAATAATATATTAATTCTGCAACGCACAATGGCAACCACAACAAATTTGGTATGATAAGTATTTGAATCGCTAGCCTTTTTAGAGGCAAACCTGATGACCTTACTGTAGAAGAATGATAAAGGATGATAATAAATATATTATATGATATATTTTATATTTATAAAAAGGAAGTTTAAAAAGGAACATTTCCTTTCTGAGGAGAGGCCTATATCCAGCAGTGGAGTACTATAGGCTGTTGATGATGTTGATGATAATGATACATAATTTGAATGTCGTTACTTGTATCAGGTTTATAGCAATTAAAAAAAGGTGTTAACACCCGAGGCCCTAACATGCAAATATATCTGGAACAAACTGAGTTTGGCAAAGACCTCTAAAGCTTTTCATGAAGCCGAGTAAAATTTTCATGTTCCACGAGAGCGCCGGCGAGTACCAGCCTAAAAATATTCAAGATTCTACTGTTTTTTGAATAATTATTATAAATATAAGTGAGCATGGTATTAAGGAACTTTGAGGGCATGGTCCCGCCTGCAAATATTTTGCCGTTGGCCGGTGTTGTAACACTTAAGAGACTGTAGATAAAGTTATATTGTATTTATCCGTTACAGCAATATAAAGCAATTCAACTTTTTCAACACCTTTTTTTACCTTTACTGGATATGACTAAAAATGGTTTGTATGTGAAAGTGTAAAGAAAGGAAATACAAAATAAAGTGTTTTCATTAGTTTTCATTTTTCATCACAATCACATAACAATACTTCTTACTAAACTGGTTATTCAACTACCTTTAGTGGGTTTAGTTTTATGAAAGATCATTTCTAAGAGATCGTTAAGAGAGTTCTGTATGTATTTTGAAATTCTTCGACATTTTGATGGAATATTTGATGTTTATTTACTAATCTAGTTTCAGTTTTTAAAACGAACTTTTTTATGCAGATGCACTTAGATACTCTTAGATACACTTTATTAACCAATGTTATATTTATTCAGAGCTGGTAACCCGGGCCATGTGATTTCAGGTCCCCCCAGATCAACGCCGAACCTAACTAGGCCCTATCTCAGGAAAAGGTGGCTTCTTCCTGCCTATCAGCCTATCCAGAAGTTGCGGCCCGATCACATTTTTAGTGCGATCAGTGCGGCAGTGGACCGGGGCGGATGGTGCTGATCCTGATGTTTTCCGCGTTGCACCCTGTCTTCTCACGAATCGCAACGTGGACATCTTCGGCCATTACGGAGTCGTCCAGGCCCTAGATGCGCAGCTCCGCATGTTGGTGGGCCTGGCCATCTTTGCACCATCCGTGGCTGCCATCATTTTCCGAAGCTTATCGGCAAACGTGTCCGCCGTCTTTGCGCTTTCAGATCAAGGAAACCCCAGGACACGAGCTCCTGTCTAGGCGAAGCGCAGCCTAACCCCTACCGTGCCGAAATCATGACCGAGACTATCCCGGGCCTTTCGAAATAGTTTACTGAAATGCAATACATCTGATATTGAAAAAAATTACTCCTAGGTTTTGTAATCAGGTTGTTTGATAAATTATTATTTCGTGAATTGTCAACGATACAATACGTGCTTCGGTGTAACTTTTTTTATATTTTTACCGCCGGAACGTTATCTTTTGAAAACTTATGAAGTGTACAAAAGGCGGTATTGTGGCATGTTTACACCATTCTTTGCAAATGGTCGAGTGCGTACTGAACAATGAATGTTCTCCCTAAGTGTCACTTGTCGCTATCCTGAATAGAGGCCATTAGACCCGCCGCAGTCGAGCATCGCTCTGGTTTCCGTAACACACTAGTAAGTACGTAGGAAATCCTCCGGAAAATGTTGCCTTTAAATGTGTATAGAGATTTACATTAGCAGCTTTGAGTTTGGACAACGTTAAGTACCCACTATGTTAGGAGTACATTATTTGCCACTTGTACTTTAACAACTACTTACATTTTGAAACGTTGAATGAAATATACAGCTTTATTTGAAAGATTCATTCATCATTTCATATTCTATAATAACGTTATCATCTTTCTATCTATTCCCAAATTTATTAAGGGTCGGTGCAATCAATTTTTCTCTTTCATTCTCCTTGATCACTGGCCATTTTCTTTTACACACTTCTTTATTTCAAATTACATTATTACTTGTTGGCGCTAAGTGCGTACTAAAATAGTAAAAAACTATATATAAATATATAATACCTACCTACTATATATATATATATATATTTTTATTTCTGATATTGAGTTGGGTAGAGAGTAAAGCGGGATGAGAGTTAAATAATATATTTCATCACTGACCGACAAACTGTTATTTCATTATATGAATCAATACTTGAAATTAAATGCGTTACGAATGACATTTTATACAAGTTCATGGGCGGCGTTGGTCACTTTCCATCAGGTGATCCGTCTACTCGTCTGCCCCCTCTAACATAAAAAAAATTAGTTAAAGAATT